TAGAGCATTTCTATTATCACTCAATGCTTCATTAATCATATCATCTATGTATGTATTATATACTCCTGCTAATTCTTCATAAGGAGTGTATGAATTTAAATCCATTTAATCAAAAATAAATTTATAATTTTAAACATTTCTATTCATCAATATTTCATCATATGAACTTCTATACTGTGGTGGTGTACCTGTTGGATGATATTTCAAACCTTCATCCGGTGTCATGTCCAATATGTAGTCCTAGTAAACCAAACCTGAGGAGGATTTGTCACCTTTGAACAGTAAGTGTCATTTTCACCCTGAATGATTGGATAAGCTTTCACTTGTACTGTAACTTGTGAGTTGAAAGTTTAATCCATCAAAGAATATACCCGCTCCATCACGTTGAACTGGAATAGTGCATAAGAATGAAGTTTGGTCTTTCCATGTTCTAGCTAATGGTATGCCATCATCATTCAGTGGTCTAGTTAATGAGTCCTCGTATTCTTCTGTGCATTCATTCACTCCATCTAAATCAGAAGCTTGAAGCATACGTGTAAAGAATATGTCGCCCACTGTGGTCATCGCTTGATCGGGGAAGTTTCTGGAATCTATAGTGACCTGAAGACCTCGAAGCATTGGATTTTCTAAAACTGTTCTTTGCATTGCATCTTCGGAAATGCTAACACAACATCTGTAACATTATGAAGAGCGTATGAGAAATCTGAGCTAATACCTTCAGGAGTGATGCAACCTCCATTTAGTGAACGAACGTCAATATGTTGAGCTGGAATCATGAATGGATCTTCCTTACTGAATAAACGTGGTATTGCTTTAACTGATTCTTCAATTAAACCGTATCCTGGTGTAATGCATTTATCCTCTAAAACATCCATCTTTGTGCATGAAATAATAACGTCATCAACTGTTGCGTCAGCAGATGTAGCGGCTAAGCTTGTAATTAATTTGGCAGGAAGTCCGATTTGTTGGAATTTGCGATCATATTTATAAACATGATTCATAATAATTTTCATAATTTTCATCAGTTATCTTTTCATAAACGTAATTTTGTAAATCAGCAACTCTTAACGGGTCAACCTGACAAAATACTAAAGTATCCCTGAAAACATAATATTTAAGAATGATATCACCAAATGATTTAGGATAATCATCGAACGCCTGAAATGCTAACAAATCATTTACCGGAATAATCATATCAAAAGTGATATTAACTTCTTCATTTGCTTTCTTGAAAACTTCTGAAGGGTCAATATATTTACCACATACTGAGTTATCATATTTTGAACATTATTATATAACGAATGAACAAACTTTTTAACTTTCCTTTCTGATTTTGGTTTATATGTTGCAAATGCGAAAGATTCATGGCGCAATCCATCTGAAGATAACCGGCATCACCTCTTTCGGTTTCTACTTCTAATTGTTTAAAGCTTTGATTTGATGATTTGTAACCAACGAATAAACGCATGCATTTAAAAGCGGCATCACATGTGAAAGCTTTATTTGAAACTAGAGTTGCTTTAACTTTGCGTTTAATATATGTGTCACCTAATTGGTTCACATCATGAGCCGGATTTGTAATTCTTAAATGAGTTTGTTTATCATCAAAATGTGGAGCATCAGAGTCATAGCATGAACTTTCAAGTTCTCTATAATATCTTCTACCGTCATTCTTTGCGAATATTTCATTTATCTTTTCGAATGAATGAAATACATTTCCATTAATCGGTTTAGTGTTTGGCACCAAATAGTTAGTCGTCATTTATTAATAAATAAAAAATCAAAATTAAAAGATGAAAATGAATTTTTAATTTTAATGAAATAATCAACTATGGCTGCAGGTATATTTAAGAAACTGTGGGATAAAGTAAAAAGAGGAGCGAGTAAAGTTTGGGAAACATTGAAGAAGGGGGCAAATTGGATATTTAAGAATAAAGAAGCAATTAGTGACGTTGCTGAATCAATAACACCAAAAGCTGCCCCAATAAGAGAAGTTTTAAATAAAGGAGAAAAAGTTTATCAAAGACTACAACCGATACTAAGATAAAAATAATTTTAAGCCGCTAAGCGGTGAGATGATCCATAGGATCTCATATTTATTTTTTCACTATCTACCTCCTATTTTATTAAGTATTCCTTCAGCTATTCCACCAATTGCGTTACCTGCTTGTGCTCCCATCGCCGGATTACCTGCTTTAGTACCTAATACTCCACCTATGATAGTTCCTGCCGTTTTCGCTACTGGTGCCAAAAAGTTTGCAATGGGTTTAATAATCTTTTTATGAACCCAACCCGCAGCTTTCTTAATTCCATCCCATAATTTTTTAAAGAATCCTGCCGCCATTTCTGATTTAATATTAATTAAAAAAATATATTTCATCACTTATATTCTAATTTTTATTTAATGATAAATGAAACCGATTTTAAAAATAAATGAAAGTGAAAATGTTCAACAAAAAATAAACGTTGTTAAACCAATTACTGAAATAAAAATTTTTTCATCTGTTGAAGAATTTAATGACTATTATGCTAATAATAAAAAATTATTTGAAGAATTGACAACGTGTAAATTGAATAAAATGTTTAAAGTTGATGGATTCAAAATTTCAAAAATAAAAGGAGTGATTAGTTTGAAATCTATTCCTCAATCAAGAATCACCTCATTAATGAAAATAGATGATTTAACAAAAAGAATAGAAGAGATTGAAGAAAGAATGAATCAAATAATTGATTTCATAAATTCAAATAATCATTAGTTTCTTAAAGTTCTATGTTGAACTCATCAAATTCTTCTTCATCATTACCATTACCTTTAGCGAGTTTATTTACTCTTTCGTTTAATTTTTTCTGAAGTTTTACATGGATGATATTTAAACCCGTTAAATTCTTTTTCCTCAGTTTTAATCATTAATCTACAAAGAACTTTAGTGAGGTGGTTTTGTTGTTTAAACCATTTATCCTTAATATTTGTTATAAATTCAATATCCGGAATTAATTCCCAAATTTTTGAATTTTCGATTAATTTACCATCAAATGCAAAAGCAATAGGTTTAATATTAAACTTACCTTTATAAAATAAACGTCTACTTGTTTAACCTGGGTGAGAATTGATTCCGTTCCCGTTTTTTTGTTCCGTTCATTTCTTACGAATTAAAAAAATAAATTATTCAAAAATGTAAGACATGAATTTTTAAAGTTTATTTTTTAAAAATTTTTTTATTTCATTATGGTAGTGAATCTTTTACTCGTTTATGAGGTCTTTGATTATGACTCCATTGATTCCATTCAGGATTTAAACAATGTTTAATTAATCGCGGAATATCTGACATCATCTATATATAGCTTCTTTTATAAAAGAATAAAAAATAAATTATTTTAAAATTAATGTTAATTTTTTAAATGATTTATAAATAAATATATTTTAATGCATCGTCTATATATAGATGTAACAAAAAAAGTCACTAAACCCTTCAACATATACTACTATTACATCTGCGAGAAATAAGCAATTTCTCTTGGAATTTCTAAATACCCATGAAGATGACTTCACTTATGATCAAACATTGTGAGGTCATTTTTGATCAACAAATTAATTGAAATTCCGATCAAAAAAAATTCACAAATTGGATCAAAAAAATCGAATCTCAAGTTAAAAATAAAAAATTTCTACATTTTTATCAAATTTAGATTTTTTTTTTCAAATCATGCGAATTGATTGAATAATTGCATATTTTATCCCATGCATCTAGAAGTATGTGTAATATTTTTGCTTTCATCAAGAAATTGTCGAATTTGATCTTAATTTTTTTTGAAAAATATACTTTTAGAAAAAGAAATAGTGATTGAATAGCTGCCCATGCTGTAAAAGGGTTATTTTTACAAGTAAAAAATTGTTATTTTTCGAGCAAGTCGAGGCTTTTTTACCATCTTATTTTTGAAAAATTTACGAAAAATTATATCTGAAAAAACGCTTCATTTTGATATCTTACAATGATAAAATACCAATGTTGCTGGGATATAATAGCTACACCTGGACATCTACTACATTAATGCGTATGACAGGTAAAGTTGATTTCAAAAGTATAGCCTGGAAAGATTACAATAAATCAACGATAATTCAAAAAAATTTCTTATAAGTTAACATAATAAAAATTTAATTTTTATATTGCTTGTATTATACTTAAGTATATAATATATTTAAATCTTAGAATGAAAATTCGGGACGCCCTAGCTATTCAATTTTCCCTTAGGACGCCCATAAACCTCTCAAAAATGTGATGTAAATATCACAATTTTGAGAAATTTACACTAGGACGCCTTAGGACGCCAACCCCCTTTTTTACCAAAAATATTTATGAGGTATAAAATGATATAAAGCATTAAACAATAGAATAATATCATTTTGAAACAAAGATACGGACTCTGGGTCTTATTGTGTCAAATTCCCGATTCCCTCACTGGATAAAGAAGAAAACCTTTTATATCTTTTATCTCCGGTCATCGATTTATCTTTATCTTTAAGAAATGTCCTAATTTATAATTTTTTTTTTCAAGTCATTGGTCTATGTGAAGGTGATTCGCCCAAATTTTGATCATATGACTTGGATTTAATGTGTACTATAAGTAACACAATTTATCATGGTTCCAATATCTGGATTTTTTAAAAATAGCAAGTTTATTAAATTAATCCCTGATGTTATTATGTAGAATCTTATAAAACAATGCTTTCTGCTATTGGTACTGAAAAAAGCTCAACAATGAAGTACTCGAGTAAAAGATCGCAACTTTTTTCTTTCTAACTGGCAGAAACCTGTGTAATAGCATGCAGTACAAAACATATATAACGTATCCATTAGACATATTACCGCCAATCGAACATATCAAAATCAAAATTATATTATTGAGAAAAAATTTGAAAATTGGACTACAGATTTACAATATAACAAAAATATTTTTTTAAAAAAATTAGATTTACAATAAAACAAAAAATAAAATTAAAATTATTCCATGACATGATGCATCTTTGCAGGATATGCAGATTCTAATATCATTGCCTCAGTCTTAATCATGTCACATGTTGCATGGATGAATCTCTTTGTTCTGACGAATTCAGAATCAACCAAAGTTTTTCCAATTTCATACAAAAACTGATAATTTGGAATTCTCGGGACACAAACATCAGAACCTTCACTAAACAAATCACCACTGTCATTCTTCGTGTAGTTTGTGTATATCGATTCATCAGCTTCCAAAGTATCGACAATCATCAACAAATCAGACAAAGAAACAGAAGGTAATTCCTCACTTAATTCGAGGAATTCGATGCCTGAATTCTGTCTAACTACATCGAAAACAGTCAATGAAAGATTGAGGATCAGTTCTGGTGAATGGTTTCCGTTGATATCTGTCCAATAATGTGACTTCACTTTTGAAAAATTTTCATCAATTTCTGAATAAACGAAATGAGGATTTGAGCATTCATCAACTACAAACTGAGGCATTGCTGTTGTTGAACTCAAAGCTGTGATGAAATCATATTCTTCGAGGAAAATAACAGCTTTTATTGTCCTTTCTTTGTTCTCTTCTCCAAAGAATTCAATGATTTCGTCTAAACTACATCCTCTTGTGAATTTGAACAAAACGAATGAATAAATCATTCGAACAACCAACAAAAAGTCGAGATCTTTTTCATCGAAAACTTGGAAGAAAACAACATAAGACTGCATGTATCCTCTGTGCAATGCGTTGCATGTCATTGTTGGATAACTTGTGTAGTCTAATTTAGCTGGATTACTCATAGAAAAGTAATCTTTTGCATTGATCACTTCACTTTTGATTTTTGGAAGATTCAATTTTTCGACTTTTATCTTGAAAATGTCGAATGATTTGTCGTCTTGCAAAGCCAACACTGATTTCGAGAGTGTCGAGTTCTCTTCAGCTTGTATTATCCTGTCAACAGCCAACTCGATCTTGGCTTCACATGATGGCAAACTTAAGAAAGAACATGAACCAGGAAGATTCAAAATTTTGCCATTAAGTGAACTGTCTGTATAAGTGGCCGTATCTATCGTCTGTAAATCGCGGATAATATCCCCGAAGAAAGAAAGAGGTATTTTCGGCTTGAGCTCGCCGATAGAATTCTTGGAGAACCTGTAGGGAGATTCACTACCTTCTCCTTCATCAGCTGGACATGAAAGGAACTTCGAAAACTTCAAAAATATGATAGCTTCTTCAACTTTTGATGCTTCAATGGTCGTCAAAAGAGTTTCGGCGACAGAAGCTCTGAAAATGGTTCTTGGGCAGAGAGAAATCATCCTCATCCTCTCAATGACTTCTCCAAGTGAACTATCTGTCTTCCAGCCCAATCTTTGGATGTTGTATCTCCAATTATAATCACTAGTTGTTAATTCAACGATATCTGAGGATTTGGGGAACTTATGGGCTGTGATTGATGCTGTGGCAATGTTGTAGTCGTAAAGATCCCTGTAGTCTCGGTGATATGCGATCGAGAAAAGATGAGCTGAATGTGTCTTCTCCAATTGATGAAGTTCCTCTTCTGTTGGCTTGCCAAATTCCTTTATGAGCTCTAAAATGGAGTTCCAACGACGAGGAGTGGCAATAATTGCACCTTTCGGAGAAACTGAGAACAAAGAGGTGAAATAGTTTAAAGCAACATGGGCTGTAACATCTTTGATCCACGTAAATGATGATTTGTCAATATGATCGATAATTGACTCCGGATTTAACCGAAATTGAAGACCATCAGCTGACTCACCTTTGCAGAATAATGCTACAGGTCCAGAAGTAGGAGTTAACTGCTTCTCAATATCATCCTTCTTTGTGTTGTAGTATTGTGTTAAATGACCTTCTAAAAACGCCAAATTGAGGCCAATTTTCTTGACAAAGTCTTCAATCTGGTAATAACAAAGCGGAAATTCTTGAGCAACTCTGCTTGGAGTAAAGTATTTTTTGAGATAATATTTTGCTGGCTTCATAAACAAGTTTGTAGGTCTTTCGTAGTGTAATAAATGGCGCTTCTTCCAAAGAGCGTTGGAGTTTGGATCAACTTGTTCGAGAAGTTCCAAAATCATACAAGTTTGCCAAAATAATGGTATATCTTCAAGTTTTCCAAGTTCAAATGTAGCTGTCAAGACTGGTGGAAATGTTATAATGGCTTTTCTGTTTAACTGATATTTATCCATGTCAATATCGAAAATTTTGTAAAATCTCTGACCATCTGTTAAATATTTCATAAGAGATGTAATTTCTTGGATTCCTTGTGAATAATCAAGCTTATCTAAGAAAGTTTGTGGGAAACATTTGATGATTACGTTAAATAACAAAGGTTCATCTTGAAGAACTTTCGGAAGAGTTCCAATACCACCTACTTCGGCAAACAAGCTTAATGGCATGTTGTCAATGCAGTCTTTGGTCGTAAAAGGATGATATGCAAATTGGCGCGCAATGAAATCATGAATTAACTGAGCTCTGATACGTTTCTGTGAAATAAAACCGTAATTTCTTGAAACTGTTGCATGACAAGCAATAGTTTTGTCCATTTTTGCTGTAAACGCTTCTTTTTTCTCTTCTATTGGCTTTTTTCCTTCTTCTTGTGGATCAATCATTTCTAGTGGAGCATCTTTAGCTTTTCTAGATCCGCCTTTTTTCTTTTTATGCTTTGTTGCCGCTTGTGTTAATTGCTCCATTAAAGCATCTGCTTTTGCGAGATCCTCTGTTTGATCTTCTTTTCTTAAAACGAAAAATGAAGTTGATGTAACTTTGTGATGGCCTGGAAAGAGAGCTAACGCTTTATCATCTTTAACTTTTAACACAATTCTGTATATTTCTGGGCAAGACATGAGGTATCTCGATAAGCTTTCAATTGTTTGTGTTGACCAGACAAATTTTTCGAAAACTGTTAGAGTTAACTGAAAAACGTCTTCAATTGTTGCGATTCCTTTCTCTTGAAGCATGTTAATTACCTTTTCTTTGAGAGCATTAAGTTTTTCGAGCTTTTTTGCTCTAACTTTTGGAAATTCATTGGTAGGTAGGACAAAGGGATCTGATGGCATTAAAATAAATTAAAAACCGAGCTATTTCATAGTTATGATAATGATTGAATAGGATATTATTTTTGATTTTCATATACATTAGCTTCTCTTTCCAATTTTTTGAAATATTATTTGCATTTCAAAAATCCAATAAAAAGATATAGTTATACGAGTAAAATATCACAAAAATCGATGTATTCAATTCCAATGGCTCTTATATAAGGAAATATTCGAACTACGTTAATATTGTAATGCAAAAAGTATATTCACTCAATAATTCGCTAAAAACAAGTATATGTTCTTTATTGTGATTGCAATGTAAGGTGATTTGCTGGATTAATGTATAATTTAGATAAATAAACGGTCTCCATATCAAAAATGAATGATTTGATTGCAAATATCATTGACGAGACAGCAGAACAAATCAGACTGTTTCTCAATCTTGACAAACTTAGTTCCTCGGCTATTGTTGATGAAATAAAGAACGAAAATGATCTTTTAGCCAAAATTGGAAAATTTATGAAACTTGTTATTGATAGAATATCATTTTCAAAAGATCCAGTCAAATATTACAACTCTATGTGTGCTAATATTATGGGTGGAGTACGAAAAATTTTACCGAATGCACCTGAAACAGTTCAAGAATTTTCAGACTGGCTACCCGCGCAATTAGAACAACACAAACTTGAAATTAGAATCATGAAAAAGAAACTTCGAAAGTGCCAAGAGGCTTTAATCGAAACTAAAAACTCAATAGCAAAACAAGCTTATGAAAGCACCGAAAAGTCAAAAGATCTTGAACAGCAACTTAAACACCTTAAAAAAGAAAACAAGCAATTAAAGGAAAGATACATGGATCGCGAAGACTTTCTGCAATACCACAAATCTCAAGTATCTATTGCAGAATCAAAACAACAACGAGCAGAACAGTCTTCTTTTGAACTTCAAAAGAATAACTATGACTTAAAACTCAAGCTTTTCGATTTACAATCCACAATTGATGCTTTAAAGCGTGAAAACTCGGAGTTGAAGAAGCAAATCAGATCCACATCAGAGCAAAATCAATATGATATACTTGAAAGAAACGAATTACTATACCAAATAGATTGTTACCATGTTGATGCAATGAAGATCGAAAAGCTCCAGAATTTACCATGCAAATGCTTTGAGCACGGTAAGAACTGGACAAAAGCACACAAACAACTCCATAGAGAACTTTACCAACTCGAACAAGAAAACGAAGAATTGAAAGCACGACTTTCTGATGTAATTGCCGAAAATAATACACTTAAATATGTAGGAAATAAGCATAATAAGAAGGTGAAACAAGAAAAAACTCAAAAGGAAAATGTTGAACAAACTCAAACAAAATGTTGCTCTTGTTGCAAATGTAAATGCCACTATTTAGATGTTAATTCTCTCAAAAAGAGATTTGATGACTTAGAAAGCGATGTTGAAGAGCTCAGAAAAGAAATTGACGGAAAATAAGATAATCTACCTTTTTATTGGATTTATAACATGCATATGTTTGTATTTATTATTTCATTAAACAAATTGTTTCAAAATCATTAATCAAATACTCAAATATGGCAATTTTTTTGTCTGAATATCCTCGAGATATTGATTATCAACTCACATATAAGTCAATAATCTTGCATCTACAAGTTTTGATTAAACAACATGTTCATTTCATGCTTTTAAGGTAAGAATTTTTGATTTATAGTCATAATTCCTTATTTTAAAGAAAAAAAGAGTGAATCCTATTCTTCAATGGCATAATCCCAATAATAGAATGATTTTCAGATTACGTTTCATCAATTTGCTGAGATGGCATTCAAATAAAAAATGTCACTTTTTAAGTTTACAATTTTTTGCAAAACCAAACAGAGTTCTCAATTTCGGGTCCTTTTTTTTAAATGAGTACCAAGACAGAGATCTGTGGTTTCTCCGGACACATCTTCCACGCTGGCCACGGCCGTGTTCACATCCGTGAAGATAAGCACCTTATGGCCTTCGAGTCCCGCAAGGCTTTCCGCATGTGGGAACGCAAGCGCAACCCACGTAAGATCGCCTGGACAGAGCACTACCGCCACGACCACAAGAAGTCTGTCGCTGATACAGCTGCTACAGAGAAGCGTGCCCAGCGCAAGAAGGCCACACGCACATACGCTGGTGTTGCTATGGAAGGCAACCAGCACCAGATGGTTCAGATCGTTAAGAAGCGTGTCGCTCGCAAGCCAGTTGCTAAGAAGAACTAAACTTCATTAGAGTTATCAACTTCGTATATTAATTCAAAAATCTCTTTTTTTTAATAGCATTCTCAAAGAAATTTACTTAATATTGTCATATATCATTCAACTCTCAAAACTCCAAATGATATCTCATATATCTCAAAAAAAAAGTGAATTTGTGAAAAAGAATATCATAGAAATTTATAAATACTATATGTGAAGAGAATGTGATTGGAAGATAACAGATATCTAGTATTAATTCAAAATTTCAGAATTTTTTCATGCATTATTATCATTTAAACTATTCAAAATGAAGTAACAACAATATCGAATGCGTTCTATTGGCTGCGTTTATAGAATAATGTTTTAAACAAAAATAAATAATGAAATTTCAGCTGCTTTCAGAATCACTAGAATAGCTATAGTCTGAATAGTCGTAGCTATAGTCTGAATAATCGTAGCTATCGTAATAGTAGTCAGAATAGGAATCTGATTCTTTGCTTTTTTTTTCTTTCGAACTTCGCTTTTCCTTTTTCTTCTTTTCATTAGGATCAACTAAACTCGTTGTTACATCAATGTTTCTTTGAACAACAACTTTTCCTGAATCGATATCAGCTCTTTGCTTTGCTGTTTTCTTATATATTTCGATAAGCTCTGGTGGAGGGAATTCCGAAAGTTCAGCTCTGAGGTTTCTGCCTGAAAGAATAGCTCCATCAAGCTGTTCACAACAGTTTTGAGCGCCTTCATGTTTCTCAAATTCAACGAATGCAATACCCTTAGGTTTTCCTAATTCGTTCTTTGCTTCGTCAACTCTGAAACAACGCCCAAATTGTCTGCAGATAACCATAATTTCTTGAGCTTTGTATTGGTGTGGAATATTTGAAATAAATACTATGCGTCCCTTCCACTGGTAGGATAATGATTTTTCGCGGTCATAATTATCTCGGTTGGGAACATATTTCGACATTCGAATTTATATGAAATTTTGCCATGTAAATTAGAGTCATGGAAATTCGAAATCAACCATCCAAAAATATTATAAGCAAAAGATACCCAATGTCTTTAGTGTATAATTCATTAGCGAAATATTTAAAAACATCAAGTTTTGGAAATTGGAGTTTTTAAATTAGGATGCTTACTAAGAACATGTTTTATTATATTGTTTTCGAAGAAAATAATTTTTGAATCTATCGTCGGCGGTTTGTCCGTCCTTTCGTAATGGGTCGTCTTCACTCCCAAGGCAAGGGTATCTCATCCTCAACATGCCCCTTCCGCCGTTCTGCTCCACACTGGCTCCAGCTCACAGCTGAGAAATGCGTCCAAATGATCTGCGATTATGCTAAGAAGGGTGTCCGTCCATCCCAGATCGGCGCTCTCCTTCGTGATCGCAACGGCGTTGGTATGGTCCGTGCTGTCACGGGCGTCAAGGTCCTCCGCATCCTTAAGGCTAACGGCCTTGCTCCAGCTCTTCCAGAAGAACTTTATCACCTCATCAAGAAGGCTACAAACGTTCGCAAGCACCTCGAACACGCTAAGCACGATGTCGATAGCAAGTACCGCCTTATCCTTATTGAGTCCAGAATCCACCGTCTTACACGCTACTACAAGACACGCCGTGTTCTTGCTCCAAACTGGAAGTACAACGCCCAGACAGCCTCTGCTCTCGTTGCTTAAACATCTTTTATGAAATACGAGTAAAGATACTACCTTTTTTTATATATTACAAAAATCGATAATTTTTTGAAAAACGATTTAGCACAAATTAACTTGATCTAAACATTGCTTTCTGTAAATCAATATTTATCCTTTTCTCTTAATATATTTTTCCTTATTGTTGAAAAATTTTTTCAAATATCAGTTTAAAATCATTACTTATATAACAGGAAATTTTAGCCATATCTTTAGAAGAATTGATGATAGCATAATTTTTAGTGAATTTAAAGTATTATATCAAAATATCAATTAATACTTATTTTAATGTTATTTCATTCGCTCCTTAACATGTACGAAGCGTATATGCGTAATGATTTTAGCAAAACTTCAATCAGTAAAATGATTAAAGTGAACATATAATTTTTAACAACAAGATGATTCTTTTGCCTTAGTTGGTGTCTTAATCGCACGATGTTGTGCAATTCCTTTCTGAACTACTTTCTTAACCAAGTCTGCGAACATATCATCGATTCCTTGGCCAGTTTTAGCAGATGTCTTATAGAATAGGTATCCACTCTTCTGAGCCCATTCACGAGCTTCCTCATCTGAAACTTCTACTTCCTCGATATCAGCCTTATTGGCAACAATTGCTATAATCGATTCAATACCGGCTACACTTACAAACGCTTCAATCCAGCCTGGAAGGTCGTTAAAGGACTCGCGACTAGTGCGATCATAAACACAAATCGCAGCTTGTGAATTTCTGTAGTAAATTGGTCCGAGAGATTTATATTTTTCTTGGCCAGCTGTATCCCAAATTTGCATTTCAACGTGTGTACCTTCAATATCGTTGATGAATAATTGATAATTAGCGCCAACAGTTCCTTGTTCGAGTGGATTAAATACTTTTTCTACTAGCATATTAAGCATGGATGTTTTTCCGACATGAGAATCACCAACCAAAACTGTCCTTCCGTGGAAAACAGATGAATTAGTGGTGATCATTTTAAATTAAAAGTGACAAGTTAGCAAGAAGTTACGATTTGATTTGTATCCGAATTAGCCTTTTCGGACCTGGAGATAAACTTACCCTTAAGCTATAAATTCCATCTCTTGCTTGTTTTTCTTACATCTGACCTTCATTTTTTCATCAATTTTTTGTTCAAAATTCGAAATCTTTGTTGAGCCTGTATCAGGGTAAATTCAAACAATCATACTATATTGCTGCATAATTTCATAATATCATAAGAAAACTTTATGAATATATTACATAAAATTAATTTATAGTAAATGATAGTTATGTAAGTAGAAAATATTACACGTAAGCATAATCTGATAATATCCCAAACAGTGAGTAATAATTGCAAAATATCAAAAATAATACGGATAAAGTATCGATTTTAACGATATTGTCATATTGGACGGATTTGTGTAACATGTTTCACATACATGTGGATATAATAAGATCAAAAATTATGAAAATAGAAAGAAAATTTCTGAAAATTCATTATTAAAGACTAGTAATTTGACATAGTCATATATGTTTTAAAAAAATAGAAAGGGTTATCAAAAAGAAAATACGCTATTTTTTAATCTGGTAAATCGATATCGACATCATCCCACATGTTTCCATCACCTTCACCTGCACGAGCATTCTGGACCATTCCATTAGCATTAGCATCAACGTTGAGATCTGGAGCGACAACATTTTCTCTTTGATTTCCGAAATTCATTACATTGTCTTGAGGTCTTCTGAAATCATCATTTCCGAACTGTTGTGGCTGGAATCCCATTGGTGTGTCATCCTGTCCTTGTTGCTGTTGTGCTTCCATCTCTTCCTGCTGCATGATAGCAATTCTCTCCATGAGATCCTTGTAAAGGCGCTGGTAGTAATCAGCCTTTGCTGACAAACCCATTTCTGTTGTCAGCTTGATCAAGTGCTCTAAGCACTGCTTGTTGTTCGGATCGAGCTGCATGACTTTCTCGTATGTTGTAAGTGCTTCCTGTTTCTGATCCATGTTTCTGTGGCATGAAGCGACCATCATTAAATAACGTGGTTGCTTTGGAGCAAGTTCTGATGCGCGCTCGAAGAATTTGAGGGCTTGGTCGTATGACTGTTTCTTCCTGAAGTAGCTGCCAAGCCATTGGATAACGTCAATGTCACTTGGGCAGTATTTGTAAGATTCGGTATAGCATTGGAAGGCCTGGGCTTCGTTTTGATCACGATCCCAGATAGCACCGAGGCGGCGCCAAATGGCTGGATCCTTTGGCTGTATGTTGATAAGACGATGAAGCCATTCGATGGCATTTGTATTAAATCCAGCCTTTTCGTAACAATCGGAAATTTCGAATGCGACTTCTGGAGCCTTTGGAATGATTCTGTTGAGTTTCTCGAAAACTTGAAGAGCTTCCTCGTATTGGCCCATCATCTTAGAAACAACACCGAGGTTGTAGAGGGCTTCAACGCAGTCGGCCTCGACACCAATAGCTTCAAGGTATTGGTCTCTGGCCTCATCTTCATGGTTGGATTGCATAAGACAGTTACCCTTGTTGACAAGAGCCTGTGCGTTGTATTTATCGTGGTCAAGAGCCATTTGAGCGTATTTGTTGGCGTTTTCGTAGTCTTGTTCGAGGTAATATAAGAAGGAAAGGTTTGTAGCTGCAAGAGCCATAAGAGCTGGGTCTTTCTTTCTGATCTGGCGAAGGATTTCAATAGCCTTGTCAGCATTACGATGGTTGAGATGTGCAAGAGAGTAAGCAATTTCGAATTCTCCAGTTGCTTCTGGGAATTTTGATTGTTTGAGCCTCTGAAGTACAAAATCGTATGCTTCTTGCCAGTCTTTGTCGCTCTTGGAAGCAACTAAACGGCTTGTAAGCATGACTAATCTGACTTGTTCGCGGCGTTCAACGTGAAGCTGATTTCCGAGAACATCAGACTCTTGGAGATCGCTAATTGTTGTAACTGGCTTAACACCAAGCAATCCTTTGTAAGCTTCGCGCATATCTTCTGTTGATGATAAAATTGCGTGGCAAAGAACAAGGTTGAAGCCTGTCTTGATGGATGGGTCAACACGCATAGCTGTTTCAAATGAAGAAAGAGCAAGATGGTACTGGCCTAAGCAAATCTGAGCAACACCGCAAGCGTGGTTGAAGCGAGCCTTAAATCTGTTATGCTCTGGTTTAAGGTAGTTGATACCCATGTTGTAGTTCTTGACAGCATCCTCGTATTTGCCAAGAGCCATGTTGATATTTCCGATCTCAAGGTAAGCCATGAACTGGTTAGGATATTCATGGTCCTTAAGGAGCCTCTCGTATCTGTGGATGGCTTCATCGTAGTTGGTATTTGCCTTATATGCATCTGCGAGTTGCATTAAAACTGTATATTTGTATGTCTTAAATTCTAATTCTTCAACGTTCTTGGATGTGATGAAATCTTGGAGAGCCTTCATTTGGGTCTCAGCCTCCTTAGCTTTTGTGAGAGCAAGCTGTGGATCCGGTGGATCAGCGGCTAAAGCTTGTGAAGAAGCGACGATAGCATCCATAATATCTTTCTTAAATTTCTTGAGTTTGTTTTCTGGCGAATCGCTAGTATCTTTAATGAATTGTGCAAACGAATCTCTAACATGATCAAGTGGAGAAATTACTTTCTTTCCGCCTGATGTTCCAAGGCTGTCCGAGTTGTAGCCGGCTCCCTTCCTTGAAGACATTGGGCGGGAAGATGTCGGCGGACGAGCGCGCGACGAAGTTAAACGCGAGGTCATTTTTTGCTGTACGTTATAAATTTATACTGTTTCGTTTATGAATGGCTATGGAACAAAGTTTATTATTATGGATTTTGAGTTGTTTAAAATAGTCGAATAGAAACATCGAAACTCTACAGTTTTGATAATTTGAAAACTGAAAACATTGAATTTATAATAAATTTGATAAAGAATCAATAATATGTTTAATGTTGATGCGTTTGGAAATATGCTAAAATTCCAAAAATATTAGTAAAAATAAAAATTAGAATGAAAAAATAAAGAAATTTAATTTCATTTTTCAAAAATCCGAAAAATTTTGGAGAAAATTCAAAAATGAAAGCGACAACTTTGATTTGTTTTAAGGCCTATATTGATATCTTCAAATAAAAATCTTTTTGGTTTCAAAACACTTTTCATTTTTTAAAAAATTAACACAACAATCTTAAATCTCGCTATTCGTTCTGCCAATAGTTTAAGCCCACTATTGGCAATTGAGAGAAGATCAAGTATCTCATCTTTCAAGCTTGGAATGAGCTCTTTTAACAAATTCACGAATCATATTATCTCGAATTTTGGAGCTAAATCAAATATTAACGTAGACCGAGTGCTATTTTCAAACATACTTAAGGCTCCAATCTCAATTTCTAATATAGATCTCGAGAGTAAAACATATCATGAAACTCAGAAGGCCAATGATGTGATGCTGCTTGTTTCATCAGCTACATTTACAAAGTGCAACGGATACACAGGCGGTGGCATCGATGCAAATGGAACTTCCCTTATTATTCGCAATTCTATTTTTGATGAAAATAAAGCTGAAGTTGGTGGAGCTATTTCAGCTCTATTTTGCAGTAAAATCACCCTCGATGGCAACAGATTTTCTTCAAATACAGCTCAATACACAGGAGCTCTTAATTTAGACTCAAATGTAGAAAAGGGTGATTCAAATGTCCGCAACAGTAACCTTACAGGAAATACAGCCGTCAAATGGACTGGTGCCATGAGAATGGATCGAACTGGCGGCACATTACAAAATTTGATTTTTGAAAAGAATTCTGCTATGGCCTGTGGCGGATTCTTTGATTACTCATGCGAGCCTTGCACAAGAAACGTCATAGAATGCCAATTCTTGAGGAACAGAGCGATGTCTCGTGGTGGAGCTTATTGCTGCTTCCATATAAAGCAAAATGTCAACTTTTTGCAATGCACATTCATTGATAATAAATACGAGACAAAAACTAACTCAATTGCAATTGATTCTATAAATATTAAAGTTACCATCGATAAATGCTCGTTTTCTGGTAGCAAGGACAATGAAATTGTTATGAAATTCCAAGGATCTACCGTTACAAATCGTGATTCAAAGTTTGACCAAAAATAATATTTTATTTTTATTTTACTTAATGTTTCTTATTCATTTTTATACTAAAATAGCTATAAATTATCAGTGTTAGCTTGTTTTTCTTTTACACAAAATCAATTACTTGAGATAGTTCAATGAATTATAAGAAAAAACCAGAATTTTCGAAAAAGTGACACCAACTATTAAAGTTATTTTATTACTAGATTTATTTACAAATTATAAGATAATATCATTAACCGAATATATTTTTAATATAAATAAAAAACTTTTTTATACAAAAAATTACAATCAATCGATAAATATTATAAAACATTTATTCCAAAAAGATTAAGTAATAGGTGGGATCCTGCATATAATATAATTTTATGTCATAAAGTTTACAAATTTTAGATGGACCACAGTGAGAATGTGAGTGGTTAATTTAAAGGTGGTCTGATAAAGATATCGAAGCTTACTCAACACAGCATGAAGCAGTTTCTAATACACAATCTTACTAGTGGTGTTTCGGTCGCCAGCGCTCTCATAGGGGTGCTGATTTCAAAAACCACTACTTCAAATTATTCAACAATACTCAATGCAGCATGAAGCAGCTACTACTGCTGTATCTTACTGGTAGTGTTTTGGTCGTTGGCTCTTGCACAGTCTCTCAGATTTTCAAAATTTTTTTTCAACACTATCTTGTTTCGCTCTCAGAAAGCTATCCTACAAAGACATCGAAGCTTACTCAACACAGCATGAAGCAGTTTCTAATACACAATCTTACTAGTGGTGTTTCGGTCGCCAGCGCTCTCATAGGGGTGCTGATTTCAAAAACCACTACTTCAAATTATTCAACAATACTCAATGCATCATGAAGCAGTTTCCAATTCAACAATACTCAACATAGCATGAAGCAGTTTCTAATAAATATATACATATATAAATATATACATATATAAATATATACATATATAAATATATACATATATAAATATATACATATATAAATATATACATATATAAATATATACATATATAAATATATACATATATAAATATATACATATATAAATATATACATATATAAATATATACATATATAAATATATACATATATAAATATATACATATATAAATATATACATATATAAATATATACATATATAAATATATACATATATAAATATATACATATATAAATATATACATATATAAATATATACATATATAAATATATACATATATAAATATATACATATATAAATATATACATATATAAATATATACATATATAAATATATACATATATAAATATACATATATATATATAAATATACATATATATATAAATATATAAATAACAAAATACAATCAAAAAATAGTGTTTGGAAATTTAAGGTTATGTGTCACTTTTTCGTAAATTCTACCACACTCGATAGTTCAATGAATTATAACAGTAATGTAATCCATTTTAAACTATTCACAATCTTCATTGTAGCGTATTATCTTGTATTTCTGCCATTCTTTTTGCTAATAAAAATTTCGGCTCGCAATTTGATGACAGTTTGTTCCAAAACTTGCGTGGTTAGCTCAATTCTAATCATATGTCCTAAATACGTATCTTGCTTATATGTTATTTTTGTTTGGGTTTCGCTCACTCTTAAAAGTGCACTTAGGCCCGTAAAACCACAATGGAGTTATCGGAAATTTGAATTAAAGTCAGATGGGGCTTAAATACATTCTTATGATAAGGATGTCGCTTGGGGGACATTTGGGGACTCGACCAAATAATTTTCAAACTCTGGGGGACATGTAAAGCGTCAAAAATGATTTGTAAAGTGTCAAAAATTATAAATATATGAAGATAATTTATTATTGTGTCTGATAAATGGATAACTCTTTAATCATGACTTAGGCTGTTCATATTTTAATGAAAATGTTATATCTAAGCCAATTTTGAAAAATGCAATTTATAATTTATGCATTAATTATGTATTGTTTTTATAAATCTTAATAATGTATACTGATATTTACTATTCGCTTTAGTTTTTCATCTGATTCAAAAATTAAATTATGTAAATATTCAGGCTGAAAGCACCAATAACAGTAAATTGGGTTTGAATTCTGGAATAGAAACAACAGAGCCCCTTCCTGGCCTTTCATCGACTCTTCATAGAGCGTCACTTTTTGTTCCCCAATCCCCCATGGGGGATTGGGGGATTGGGGGAAATTTATTTTCCTGATTTTATTAATGATTAATATATTACCTTTAATAAAAATCAAAATCATGTCATTACAAAGCTCATAGAGCTAAAATTTAAGAAAAATTAAATATCAATTCTCTGAAAATGCAAGAAAATTCAACAAAAACTAGATAAATGTATTTTAAATATTAACAATGTGCTGTATATATTATAATATTTGAACTTCAGTAATCAATAATTATTTTGACACTTTACAAATAGACTCTGACTTCATCAAACAAAGCTTCTCAATTTTTGTTCCCCAGCGTCCCCCACTTGGGGGACGCAATCAACCCCCGGGGGGACAAAACGACATCCTTACTTATGATTTAAATATGGTAATTCTATTATGTATTCAATTTTTGAAAAACATTGAAAGTGTAACTATTGGCACAGGATTGATTCAAATTTTTGATTCGAATTTTTTTCCCAAAATTGAAGTATTCAAAAATTTCAATGAAGTCTTAGAATTTCTGCAGTTTGTTTATCTTTTTTAGACTCCACTATTGTCGGCACCGGAACTTACTCAAGAATGCTTTATAAGAAAAGAGTTGTTAAGGTTCCAATAATTCCGTTCGTTTTATTACTTATTTCATACATTTTAATTCAAATTACGAGTAATCAATATAAAATTTCAATAATTCCTTTATATTCACAGGTGATTATGGAAGACGTATTTGATCCAAGTTCAACAGTCGATATAATTAACGCATTGTTGAGAGATCAATTAAACTCAGAAAAATGTCAAAAATGCAAAATTTAGCCATTAAGCAATGTTGACAAATCAACACCTCAAGATGTAGGAGTTACTACTGTTATGAGATCCTCTTCTGGATCTGTTCTTTTAGCAAAAAACATAAAATCTGTCTCTAATATGACATTTATTATACTTGCAGATCAAGAAGCATATAAAAATATCGATAATTACTCAAAGGACTACGTGAAGAACTGTGGTCGTCTCATTGTCAACACAGGAAATCGCATTTTTACTGATTTTTTTCTATCAAAGATATAAAACAAAAATCATGTTGTTCCATGTTGCATGCTAAGATCAGTCATAATGTAAACCTCTCAATTTTATTGTCGTGGGAAGTATCTCAATTCCTTCAAAAAAATTGAAAAACTATTTAATTTTAAAAATATAATACTTTTAATTAGTTAATTAATTGGAGATATTTTTTAAAAATCACTTTTGATAATACTTTTGAGGACTTTAATTAAAAAAATATATTCAAAAATATCCAGGATATCAAGAGGGAATTGTTCCTTATGAGGTATATAGTTATGATGTATACCTCATAAGGAACAATTCCCTCCTTAAAATCGTAGACATTTTTATACTTATTAATCAACCATTCAAAATCATATTCCTCTGAAAAGTTATTTTATTAAAAATTTAGAATTTTAATAAATATAGAGTTTGAATTTCATACAATACCTATATATTTTCAATAATGGAATTTGAAAACCATTCTCAAAAGTTCTCAGAAAACCTTTTTTTCATTAATTTTAAGAAATCTGAGTATTAAATTAAGTGATAAATTCGTTTGACACTACTTTAATTTTTAAATTCAAAAAATTATATGTGCTTCTTAAAATGACTCAAAAAAATTTTATTATAAAATAATATATAATATTAAAAATCCCACAACATTTTTTTACTTTACATAATCATACTTCCTCGACGATTAATTTCCACTCAATTTCTATCGTTGACCGAACTGAGCATGCAACAGTTCCATGCATTTACGCAACGATTCTACGCTCATATAAGATATCTAACGTTTTTCGACAGTCAAGATTTCTTATTTCAGGATATTGTCTTTAATGAAGACGAAGAATATACAAAGGGCTTAACATTGTTCCCAGAAAGAATGAAATTATACAGATTACCAGAGTATAGGGAAGTTATGAGGAAAACACAAGATTTTGGAGGAATTGATCCAGAAATGCTGAAAGAGAAGAGCAATATTAATGGATGTTGTGGTGCTGGAGACCCATATATAGCGGCAACAGTTTTCGACCTTATTCTTCAAGATATGAAAATTACTTATCATAATATCAGTATAACTGACCAATCCATGCTCACCTATTATGCATATAATGGATATATTCCATCCCTCAATCTCCATCCCGACGGATTGCTTATGGCCGATCAAACTAAAATTAATACATCAGTTTTTGGTCAATTCCGTGAAATAAATTCATCTAAACTAGTAAAAGGAAAATTCAAGTGGTTGCATCACTTGAATTACCGTCTACCAAAAGAATTTCTCTTGGAGATTTATAGACACTGTCCAAGAGACGATATAAACGTCAAAAACTATTTTCCACGTTTATCAGATTTTGAAATTGATGAATATGAAAGAAAAATGAAGAAAAATCAAAAATAAATTTTAAATGAACTATTTTTATCTTGAATGGACTATCCTTTCAAATATATGACTAAATAACTAATATTTTATCATAGATCTTTAAATATTTTATCATTGATATCAATGAATCTTAACAAATATAAAGTTATTTCTATAGAAAACATTCTACAATGAAAATCAGGTATTTTAGAGCAAATTCAACAAATGAAATGCTCTAGATAGTCTAGAAAAAGAGATATAAAAACATTAGAACTCTTTATGTACAGTTTGAAAGGGCACACATAGAGTACCAATAGATATTTTAATCAGAAATTCAAGATCAATATCAGGATTCATTCAAATAAACAATGGTTATATAAAAAATGTGGTTTATTGAAAAATAAAAAACTGACATTTTTTATAATGAAAATTTTATGAGAAATTTCTGATGGTAATAGTCGTGGTGTTGAATTTTCTGCAGATGGTACTATTCTCCTTAGAGCTCCGAATACACTTGTTGGTGAATACATTATCCCTGCAAGTTGCACAACGATTAAGGGAGGAAACTCGGCAGATGAAAGTCCATTCCTTTTTTGCCGAGACAACATCACATCGATTATTGCTGAACGTGGAAGTCTTCTTTCGAATGTTTGTTATTATTGTTTCGCTAAATCTGAACTTGTTTCTTGTGATCTGAGTCAATGCACAAAATTATTAAATATCAACTGTGCAATGTTCTCTGGGTGCAAGAAACTGGCCAAAATGCAACTCCCTCCAAATTGCGAGATTTTAGATTATGGCTCATTTGCTGATACATCTTCTTTGCTCAAACTCGAGTTGCCTGATTCGGTAAGAACTATTGCTGGTTATCATAGCGTTTATTATAGAGTTTTTTCATATAGCGGATTAGAAGAGATAAAAATTAATCCAACATCGAAATTGACCACCATTGGAAGTGATTGTTTTACTGGGTCTCGCTTGAAGTATTTCTATTTTCCGGAGTTTTGCACAAATGTGGTATTTTCTGCTTTCCAAGAATGCCCTATTATTGAATTTTCCTTCCATCCGAATAATAAAAAGTTCAAAACAGATGGAACAAGTATATTCATCGGAGATAATAATAACACATTGTTATTTGTGAGTTCTGGCCTGACAGGAACATATACAGTTCCCAGTTTTGTGACAAGAATTGAAGATTCATCTATAAGAGGAGGAAAACTCTCAAAATGTATCTTCGGACCTCAAATTACATATGTTGGTTCATGGATTTTGGGTTTAAATAAAATCACTGAATTTGAATTTCCTCCACAGATGACATCTGTTGCTGAAGCAATGTTCTATAGCTGCAGTTCTTTGACAACGGTGAAATTCACTGATTCAATAGTTTCGATTCAAAGGCTTGCTTTCGCTTTCTGCAGTTCATTAAAAAACTTGACTTTACCATCAAAATTAAAGTCAATTGGGAATAGTGCTTTTGCAAAATGCACTGCTCTAAAAACATTGACACTTCCTGCAGGATGTGATCAAATAGGTGATGGTGTTTTCAGTGAGATTTCGATAACAATCAATTCATTGAATCCCGAGATCCAAATAGATAATTATGTTATGTATAAAAACAATCGTCAGACTATCACAGCATATCTCGGATCTGATGCCTCATCAAATATTGTAATCAACAAGAGCTGCACATTAATTGGCTCAGGCGCATTTCAATCAAAGACATTTTCACAAGTTACATTTGACAACAACGAAATGATCAACATCTCTTCTTATGCATTTGCTTCATCAACGATCAAATCAATAACATTTCCATCCGGATTAAAGAAGATTGAACAATATGCATTCAGCAATTGTAACAACCTTGTTCGTGTTTCATTTCAAGGTTCCCAAATTACAGAGATTCCTGATTATTGCTTTTACCAATGTCCTTCATTGTCACAAATTGTTCTCCCATCTTCAATCACAAAGATCGGAAACTATGCATTCCGAGAATCTCCAGTCATTGGCGACATCGGAATATCAAATCTTAATAGTCTTTCGAGCATTGGCATTTATGCATTCTATCAAAGAGGTCTTACCACAGCAGACATCTCAAGCCAAAGCCACACTATTGGCATGCAAGCATTTGCACAATCTAAACTTGAGAATCTTACTATTGCATGCAACATTTCGCAACAACTTTGCCAGCGCTGTACATCCTTGAAGAATTTACAAATGAAGAGTGGTGTTGGATATATCGATGTTTATGCATTTGATGGTTGCTCGTCTCTCACAGGTTTCACCATTCCGAAAACACTTACTAAAATACTTAACTTTGCATTTCAATCTTGTTCATCACTATCCAACATCCGAATGGTTTCGGATTGCACATTGAACTATTGTGCAGGTGGTGCCTTCTATGGCTGTTTCAATCTTAAGACAATCACACTTAACCCTAACGACAACAAATATTTGTTTGAGAACGGTGCACTCACAGATCGCGACCAGACTATCTTATACTTCTTCCTACCATACAGTGGTGTCAAGAACTTTGCTGTTCCTACCGAGATGATCACTATTGGCAACTGTGCATTCATGGGTAGTCCATCTCTTCAACGAGTTTTCTTCAGTGGCATCAAGCTCCGAGAGATCGGCTACCAAGCGTTTAAAGACTGCATAAATCTCAATTTCATCTTCTTCTCATCATCCAGTCTCACTAAGATTGATAACGAAGCATTCGATGGCTGTCCTTATCTTAAGAAATGCGGCTCATTTCAAGCACCGACAGCACTTCAAGAGAAACTTATTTCCATCAATATCCCAAAGACTGCATTTTCCGATGATTGTGATCTATCAATAACTTGCAAACCTATCATGCGATTTTCATTCTCACTAGCAGTTCTTACACTTTTTATTTTAATGTAAACATTAATTCATACATACTTTTTCATCTTTTAGATGCCATTTTACAGATTTTTGAACATCTAAAATTTTTGTTATCAGAATCATTTGTTCAGCTTTTCTTTCAATAATGCTTATTATTGAAAATCAAAATTTATCTAGGGCTGTACAAAATCGAGAAAAACATTGCCGTGCGGTAATATAGGGTCAAAAAAATCGCGCCTCGGGGGATCCGCCGCCTCGGCACTATTAAGTGCGCATTATATTTAATATGTCCTTCTTTTTTTTTCTTTTTTCTTCTTCTTCTTTTCCTTTCCTTCTTCCTCTCCTTCCTCTTCTTTCCTTCTCCTTCTCTTTTTACAACAACGTCGAAGATCTTCGAATTTGATTGTTGGAAAAGCATCTATTTCAGATAAAGGATGCCTTTCTCACAGTCAACATACGAGGGTCCTGGCTGAAACGTTCTCAAAAAGCCTGAGATGGTAATTCTCTGATCACTCATAGCTGGGCAGGTAGTCATTGCTGACAATACCTGTCTTTATGCATGCACGCTTTCATGTATATGGGTTTACACTATCAATTCGCAAAGTTGTTCCGAATTCTTCCAAAATGGAAGGACCCGAAACAACTTTGCTTGTTAACGATACAGACGCATTACTTTGCATTGATACTGTGCTGAGTTGTGTAGAAGGTTTGATTAGAGTTGTTTTGTTCTGGTATCTCTCATCTTCTGATGAGAGAAATCAAAGCAACACAACTCTAATGAGTTTGTTTTCACTCATTTGTATGTAGGTTTTTAGTTCGATTGGAGCTGCTTCATAATGAGATCTCTCATCAATTGATGAGGGAGATCATAACAAAGCAGCTCTAATGTATATGCTCGTATTAACCGGGTTGTAATGCGTTGTAACGTCAGCTTGTAGTTCGTTTGGGGCCACTTCACATTGAGATGAGAAGAAATGATTAAAGGACTCTGAAAGGCTTTGGCCGTTGATGTTGTAATCGCATTACTTGGAACTAGCTGGATGCTAAGCTGTGTAGAATGTTCGATTAGAGCTGTTTTGATATGATTTTTCTCATCATAAGATTGGAGGAATCATAGAAAAACAACTCTAATGGGTTTACCATCATCTACTTGTATGTAGATGTTTGGGAAATTGTCTTGTTAACCGATTTTCGAGATGACTTTCAAATGCTATAATCAAATGACAAACAAGTCTAAGATTTCTCGACAATACATCAAATCATGATGTTTGTAAGTGCAATGAGATTAGAGTTTTTGAAGGAATGACAAGAGAAGTAGGGAAGCTCGGCATTCGCCGAGCAAATTAAAAATTAACTTATGGATTAAATTTTAAGAGGAATTCAATTTTAATTACGGGTTGTTCAAATATTGATTAATATAAATTTATTAATAAGAATAAACAATTTTTGTTTTTGAATTTATTCAATTTATAGCTTTACATATAGTTTCAAAATTGTACAACTATGATTATTTCAACAAAAAATATCTTACTTTTTCACTTCACTTTCACCCTCACTTTTTCCGTAATTCAAATTTCAACATTATGTATTTTAATTCCTTATAGTATTTTTAACATAATTAATCAAATAATAATTGGAAGTTCTGAACTCACTTTTTCCGTAATTCAAAATCAAAAATATGAATAATATATCTATTTATTATATACTAATGCTATTTTCAACTAGAAGTGAGGTACGGTAATCTTACGGATTCCCGTAACTCAATTTTACGGAAAAAGTGCAGTAAACTACTCAATTTACGGAAAAAGTGTCGTAAACTATTGATGTGGCGGTAAAATCACGGTAATTCACGGAAAGCTATATGCGAAAATTTGAAATTATACAAAATCGAGCGAAACACTTTTAAATAGGTTGTTCTCGTATTTAAAATACTATTCCCAGATTTATTGTCGTCAGAATATTTCCAAATTTTTGCCGATTTACAAAAAATGATTTACAAAGCATATTTTTTAATCTAAAAAATTCCTAAAAAAAGGAACCGGTGTGCGGAAACCTCGGTAAATTACCGCGGTTCCCGTTGGGACTGCCATAAATTTATCCTAGACAAATCAGAGAAATAATGTAAATTTTTAATTTGAAATTTGAAATTTGGCAAAGAATAAGATATTATAGAATAAAAATGATACAAACAATAACTTTTACACGAAAATAGCTTGAATATGATGAGAAATCCACTATTTTTTGAATAATTACAAATCAATATTTTTAATTTTCCTTCAAAAACTCACTACAAAAAGATTAATTAAAGATATGAGTTTGTTTGTTTTGAGAAAACAACTTTAGTCACTTTCATTTGTGTAGTATAGAAAAAAAACGTTTTAAAAAAGCAAAAGAGTATAAAGAAAAGAAAGAGAGATATAGATCATACAAAAAACTTACTCCTGGCGAGCTTGACCGTCACGAGCGTAGAATTCCTGGAGTGTCTTTGTATCGATACGCTTGAGAGACTCCTTTGGAAGAGTTCTGAGTGTTTCCCAAGCCAAGTCGAGAGATTCGAAGACGTTTCTAGCCTCGTAAGGGCCCTGTCTCAAGAATCTGTTTTCGAATCTTTCGAGGAACTCGATGTGCTTCTTATCTTCATCAGTGAGAGATTCTTCACCGACGACAGCCTTCATAGCGAGGACATCCTTACCCTGTGCGTAAGAAGCGTACATCTGGTTGGAGACTGAGCCGTGGTCCTTGCGTGTGAAACCTTCACCAATAGCGGACTTCATAAGACGGGAAAGGGATGGAAGCAAGTTGATTGGTGGGTAAATCTGTTTGTTGTAAAGCTGACGATCGACGTAAATCTGTCCTTCAGTGATATAACCTGTAAGATCAGGAATTGGGTGAGTGATATCATCAGAAGGCATTGTAAGAATAGGAATCTGAGTGATGGAACCTGGTCTGCCTTTAACACGACCTGCACGCTCGTAAATGCAGGCAAAGTCAGTGTACATGTAACCTGGATATGAACGACGGCCGGGAACTTCGGATCTGGCGGTGGAAACTTCACGAAGAGCGTTAGCATATGAAGTCATATCTGTAAGAATGGCAAGAACGTGCATGCCCTGCTCGTAAGCGAGGTATTCGGCGGTAGTAAGTGCAATACGTGGTGTAACGAGACGCTCAATTGTTGGATCGTTAGCGTGGTTCAAGAAAAGAACGACACGCTCCATGGAGCCGGACTGTTCGAAGTCTTGCTGGAAGAAGGAAGCGGTAGCCTTGTTAACACCCATAGCACCGAAAACAATAGCGAAGGACTCCTTGGAGTTATCATTGACATCTTTGCCCTTATGTTGGACAAGACCGGACTGACGGCAGATCTGAGCAGCGATCTGATCGTGTGGAAGACCGTTTGCGGAGAAAATTGGAATCTTCTGGCCACGAGCGATGGAGTTCATGACATCGATGGAGGAAAGACCTGTTTGAATCATTTCTCGTGGGTACTGACGATCGTATGGATTAATTGGTTGGCCTTCGATATCAAGATAAGCATCAGCAAGGACTGGTGGACCGTGATCGAGTGGCTGACCGGAACCACTGAAGACACGGCCAAGCATATCAGTGGAAACTGGTGTGTGCTGCGTTTCACCTGTGAATTCAAGGCGTGTACGCTTGACATCGATATCTGTTGTACCTTCGAAGATTTGAACGACAGCTTTGTTGCCTTGAACTTCGATAACTTTACCACGACGCTCACTGCCATCACCAAGGGTGACACGGACAATTTCGGAATAACGTGGGAACTTCACGTTATCGCAAATGACGAGAGGACCGTTGACGGAAGTAACAGTGCGATATTCTATACGTGGATGGACAACATAGTCGCGCAATGCTGCGGCGACATTTGCCTCATGAACTTGTTGTTCAGTCAATTCAGACATGTTATAAGTTCTGGTGTATGCGGAGGTTTTGACGAATGAAGTTATTCAATTCATGATCGTTTCCCTTTACCTGATCGTCCTAACCGCAGTTGATCACAATACATGGTTTTATCGACAATTATGAATCAGGCATACTAGTAATCCCTTAAATTTCATTGATTCATAGCTTTTTGGAAATCTGAATTTTGTAAAAATAAAAATCAAAAATTCTTGATTGATTGGTATTGCTATTTAAAATATAACTCATATTTCAAATAATTTTCGAAAATTGATTTCCAAAAAATTTTCTTCTGTATATCAAGTTTTATTCCAAATATAACATATACTTATACTGTAAATTAAATATATGTTATTCAAAAAGAATCCTATGATCGATAATTTTTATTTGGATTTATTCTTAAAGTTTTGAAGCATAAAATGTTATACATGAATCAGTTAACTTATAATATGATAAGATACAAGCACTTAAACTTATATGAAAAGATTCTAACCATTCCTGTACAGTTTTCATGATAACTATTGTTGAATTCAACAATGTTCCGACAAAAACACAGATATCTTGAATATTAATTGTAAAATCAATCTTTCAAATTCAAATTCCATGGAAATTTTCAGATGAATCAAAATTTCAAAGTAAATATGTTGGTATGCAATAATAACCAATCAAATTCAATATCAAAATTTTCATAAGTGCAATTTTTTTATGGAATTTTTTTTCTGAAAATTGAATGATAATTCAAAAAAACTAAAATCCAGCAATTTAGATCATTTTATGAATTACGTCCTCAAAGACACTGTCGACATCGGTGATACCAAAACAAAATCAGCTAGGATTAACTTGCCAGAGAAGAAACTTGTTATGGCATATAAAACATCAACACCAGAAGATTTGAAAGCTAATTGTTATTGGCTGTATGATGATTTCTTTTGCCATATACTCGGATACGAAAATGGATACGCACATGTGCGAATTGGTAATGAATCATGCTATATTGATCAAGATTCTATTCAAGAAATTATTTATCTTGGAAAAACAATACTAAACGCAGACTTATTTTCTGAACCAAACACTACATCGGCTACGTTTGCATCGTTAAATGAGAATACAGACTTATATATTATTGATTATAATATTAATGGATATATTGAAGTATATTATCAAGGAAAAACAGGATTTATTCTTCAATCATTAACAGACTTCGACTTCAAACCATTCAAAGGAGAGAATGATGGAGAAATTGTTGTAAAATTAGCCAAAACTAAACTCGGCTGCAAGTATGTTTGGGCTGCAACAGGTCCTAATGAGTTTGATTGCTCAGGTTTAATGCAATGGTGCTACAATAAACTTGATATCTTTATTCACAGAACTTCTGGTGCCCAAGGAACTCATGGAACCAAAATCACTGATGAAAAGGATCTTCTTCCTGGTGATCTTGTCACTTTTGCTACAGAGTCACAACGTCCTGGTGTAATTTCACATGTAGGAATGTTCATTGGTGATGGAAAGTTCCTTCACTGCTCTAGTGCACTTGGTGGTGCTGTTATTACTGAAATCAAAGAATACGATTGGCCATTTAAGACAATGACCAGATATTGGCAGCATTAAAGTAAATATCATTATTATTGTGATTGAATAAAAATAATAGTCTACTTTATTAACATGTGATTTTTGCTGAATCACAAACTAGGGTTTTGCATATTGGAAATAGTTTTAGCAGATATTTGCATCATATGAAATAAGAAGTTCGGCTGTTTCTTTACTATTATAAATTGCAGCAATATGAAGAGCGGTTTGCCCATTTATATATACAGGGCGTGCGGATAGAGTAAATTGAAAATTGAATTTGATTCCCTGTAAAAATAAAGAGAATTAAGTTTTACACATTGAAATTAGTTAAACAAACACTCTCCGATTCAGTGTTTTAAATTTCTTGCGAATATTTCTATCGGAATTTGCGTCTATTTTTGAGTTATGGCGATGAAAAATATTAAACGTTCATCAATCAATGCATTTCTTGATATCAGTTTGCCATGCAATTTTTTTATAATGAGCAAAATTTCTTTCAAAATATATACGTTTAATTTTCAAATAATGTAAACGTCTCATTTTGAAAAAAAATATATATTTTTTGTTTTAGATTGAATAATGTCATGCTCAGATGATGACTCATGCTTCGATTACGAAGAATGTGAGGATGAAGCACTTTCACAGGAATCTTTCGATTGCTTACGCCAAGAGAATGAACTTTTAAAGGCTAAATTTGAAAAGGCAATTGAAATTTCTCAGAAGGTGAAAGAATTACAAGAACAAAATACAGAACTCCAAGCCCAAATAAAGGATGGACAACGTGAAAAAGAAGAAATTGAACACCGCCTTGAACTCGCCAATAGAACAATCAAGGAGAACGAAGCTCAGCTTGCAAAGCAAAAGAGAATTGGTGCAGAGCAAGTTGAGGAGGTTACAAAGCAATTTAATGCTAAGATAGCCGCTATGAAGAAACAATCTGATGATGAGATTAACTATTTAACAGAACAGCTTAATCAACTCTTAACAGATGCGGAAAATAATGAAGTTAAGGAGAAAACCGAGAAGGCTCGCCTCGGAAGACTCTTCCGGTCCGTAAAAAGATACTTCAACGAAGAAATCGCATCAATTGAAGATCTTATGAACCAACTGAACAAAGAACCACAAAAACAAGAGACTACTGCTACCGTTCCACCACCACAGGAAACCAAACCAGTTAAGGAAGTTGATGAAGCCAAGCTTAACAAGTACAAACAAGCTCTCAAGGATGCCAACTCCCAAATTTCTACACTTAATCAGCAATTAGCTGAAGCCCAGAAGGTTCTTAAGGAGCAAAAGCGTACTTCTGAAATGAAGATCAACAATCTTACATCAGAGATCCAAGATCACCAACAGAAGTTAAAGGACACAAAAGAGAAGTCCCAAGCTAAGATCCAGAACCTCGAAGGCCGCCTTGCTAACATGAAGACCGAAGTATCTAAAGCTCGCGCAGTTCCTCCAGAGATCATTGATTCCGGCAGAAACTTCTCTGTTTCTCCAATCAACTCCCAGCAGAACATTGTCATTTCTCCACCAGCAGAGCCAAGAAAGGTCTCATTCAAGGAGCCATCAACACAAAAGGAACAAATCATACAATCTGTTGACATGCTCAAGGACAAGAACGCTCAGCTTACAGAGGAACTTACATCCGCTCTCGAGAGCAACCGCAAGAAAGAGCAGCAAATCAACCAACTTAACTCCGAGCTCTCCCAAATTCGTGTCAATCACAAGAACAACGAAGTTGAATTAATTAGTCTCAGAGAAGTTCATGCTGAAACAGTCCATGAACTCGAGACACTCCGCGAGACTCTTCATGCAAGACAAACAGCAATTGAAGAGACACAGCACCAACTCGATGAAAAGAAGGATGAAGATGAGAAGACAAGAAAGAGATTCGAATGTGCAAAGAAGAAATTAAATGGTTACAAGTCACAGAACCAGAAACTTCAAGACGACAAAGAAGCTCTCGAAGAGAGAGTTGATGAACAGAGAAGACAACTCAATACTGTCACCGATGCAAAGAACCAGCTCGAGAAGAAGCTCAAGGATACAACACAAGAATTGGCCGAAACACAACACAAACTCAAAGGAATGAAAGTTTTGACAGCAGAAGATTTACTTCCACCACACATTTGGGCAATGAAAGGAGCTGATGACCAACTTGCTGGACAGATCAACCGCATTGCTTGCAATCCAGCATTGCAAGTTCCTTCCAAACTCCAAGCTGTTTACCAAGCAATCGCTGACAACTACGCACAACAAGTTGAAGTTGAAGAAGGAAAAGTCAACGATTTAGTTGAACAAATGGAGAAGAACAGAACAATTATGAACCAATTCATTGTTGATGCTTCAATCATTCTCAATGGAGAAGCAATTACATACGATGATCTCATCAAGAATGAAACAACAAAGAAGGAATTCTTGAACAAACTCGGCCAACTTAGAGAAGATGTCGATCAAATCAAGTACGAAAACGAGAAATTGACATCATTCACTAAACTTTATCAAGAATGCTTCGGCTCATCAACAGAATTGTTAGTCCACGCAACAGAACTCAAGAACAAGTTCACAGAGAAGGACAACAAGATTGCTAAACAACGCAGCTGCATCCACAAACTCAAGGCCGCTCTCAAGGAACACGATGAAACAACAGAACAAGTTTTACTTGAGAAGACTGATGAGATTGCTGATCTCAAGGCACAGCGCGATGAGTTAGCAAACAAGCTCAACCAGATCGATTCCAAGTACAAGTCTGCAAAGGAAGACATGAATCAGTTAGAAGTTGCTTTGATGGCTGAAAAGACAGAACGCGAAAACTTCGAAAACATGATGCAGGAGAACCATTCCAGAATGATCGGAGAGTTGGATACAAACCACAACAAACAAGCCCAAGAGCACGAAGTTGAGAAGAAACAGTTACTCGATGAAATCGAGAACAAGAAGCTCAAGATGAATGATCTTCGTAGCGAATTAGAGAGGAACAAACAACAGCTCAGAACAATGACACAGAAATACGAACAATTGAAGAGACAAATGACCGCAGAAGATGAGAAATACGACCAGGACAAGAAGCAAGTCCAGGCAGAGCACGAGAAGGAGAAGGAGTTCATGAAGACAACATTCCAGAACTCACTTGATGAGCTCAGAAAGCAATGCGAGAAACATCGTGAAGATGTTAAGTTGCTTTCTCAGAAGCTCAATGAAGAAGAAATCGCAAAGAACGAATTGAAGCAGAAATTGCAGGCAATCACAAAGGATAAGAGCAAACTCAAGAAGCAGATTAAGACACTTAAGGATGACAATGAACGTCAACTTAAGTTAACAATGATCGAAGCAAGAAATAAGATTAATGCTTCCGAAGCTCCAATGCTGAAGAAGATTGATGAGGAAAGGTCTAAGAGCGAGAACGCTAAGAAGGCTATCTACGCTTACATCAATGACAATCTTGGCGACTACACAGGTAATGATGTCGTTGATGACCTCTCATTCAGATCTGGCGTACAGAAAGTTAAGACTTATCTCGGCAAGTTGACTTCTTCTGATGATACAGTTCGCAAACTCGTTCATGCTAGAGAAGGACAGGAAACTGCTGATGCTGTCGCTCAGATGTTAATCTAATTCTTTATTTAGACAACATATTTTATTTATTATTGTATTCGTTTGTGATATTTAGCTAAAATTTATTAATTTTTCTAACTTTTCATAGCATTTTTCTCAAATACGTTGGTCATTCAATAAAAATACCAAACCAACGACCATGTATGATCACCAATTCTCGAAGGTAATATACTACCCATGACCTCATTCGAATATGACTACCCAACTCATAATTACTCACTTCTGTAAACTTCCCGCCAAACAGAATTCTTTCAAATTAAGAGCCTAAAAATGATTGAAACAGCAAACACATGCAATTACAGAGAAATCTCTCGTTGACATTTTCAGATTTTCAGAAATAACCATCAAAGAATTTCTTTGAGTTTTGAGATATCGGAAAAAAATACCAAATTGATGCTGAAACATATACTCCTAATTCTTTTGGTTTAATAAATTCATAAGAATATATTTTGGCGCCAGAATTGAAGGATTTACTTCTTCGAAATAGTTCTATCGTCCAAAATTGAGAATTCAACCGAATTTTAGTCTCAAATTTAGAACTTCACTTGACGATAAAATTTTGAAGGCAGGCTGAACAAACTTCATTTATAGTAATGCCAGCATCACCATACATCTGCTTCTGCAAGGAAAAGCGCCCACAAGTTAAGGCCGACAACCCCGGAATCGCTTTTGGCGATATCGCAAAGAAGTTAGGCGAGATGTGGAAGAATCTCTCCGAAGAAGAGAAGAAGCCATACGTTGAAATGGCTGAGAAGGAGAAGGAACTTCACAAGGATGATCCAAAGGAGAAGAAGACAAAGTCCAAGAAGGGCAAATCCTCAAAGAAGAAAGAGGAATCCGATAAGGAAGAGTCTGAGAAGGAATCCGGATCTGATGAGTAAATATTTTGCTTTTTTATTATGAATTACGTAATTTTTTACTCTAATGAACCTCAAATGAACTAAACGTAAACACGTAATATGTCGATTTCCCACCGCAAGGTAGTATACCGGTTCATACCGAAAGATCTAGGTATTATCTAGTTTAATACCGGTATTAATGTATGATTCGAAGTTGATTGAATTGCGTTTATGAGCTTGTTTGCGGTGGGAAATCGACATTATCTACAAAACCATTATTTACTAGATAAATCAGTAAATGACCTCAAAAACAAACTGTAATGCTGTTGGAAACTAAAATGACCAATAATGTCCTAGCGACAGATTATGGCGATTTTAACTAATTTTGCTTCCACTCTAGGCATACATACCAAATTCATCTCCAAAATGGTTAATTTCGAATACATCTCAAAACCATTCATCATCTATACATAAAATCGCTAGTATGGCACGGGCATATTTTCATTTTACATCTAATATATCTCATCTATTATGAAATAAATATAAAATATAGATTTACAAATTATCGAATTGGGTTCTATCAATAGAATGTCCATAATTTCTTCTCTGCGAGTTCAATGCACCTCTATAATCCTTTACGGACTCATCAGTTGCATCAGAACCACTGTCGCTGTTACCTCCGCCACCTCCTCTGTCATATGCACGAGCTTCTTGAAGCCTGAACCTCAAAAAGTTCTCCTGCAAGACTCTTTCTGCTTCTCTTTCATCATCTGTTACGAGGATGTTGTCGAAATGGCTTCCGGCAACTGATTGTTTGATTTCGAATCCCCAATAGTTCAAATTCTTCCAATGACCAAATTTCGGAGGATCCCATGTACCATTATAGTTAGGATTTGGTACTTTCGTTGGTTCCCATTCCTTATAATTTGGATTTGGTACTGTCTTCTTAACTGTTTCCTTTACAATCTTCTTGACCATCTTCTTTATTGGTTCCTTTTGAGTTTCTTCGGCATCATTTTCATTTTGTTCAGAATTTATTTCAGGTTTAACTATTTCTTCGACTTCTATTTCTTTTTCGACCTCTTCTTCGACTTCCATGGTTGGTAATGGCCAATCCTCTGGTTTCTTCTCATTTTCGTCAATGAGAAATTCTCTTTCATCCCAATCTTCTGGTTTTTCGATCTTAGGTATATCATAACGCTCTTCAAGAGTTCCCTCATCCATTGGGACACCATCAATATTAATTTTATAAGAGTTATTCTTATAAAGAACTAATGTATAAGCGTGAGTGAACTGATCACGAATAAAACCAATTGGTCTCTTATTTTCGTATACTTTTCCTTGGTATTGGATGGTAAAGTGAGTTCTTTTGTATGAAGGACCACAGACTTCTGGTCCGAATTTGATAGCAAAAGGAGTTTCGGGTCCAAATGATGTAACATCAACATCATCGGTAAGTATTTTAATGAAATTTCCTGAACAATCTTGATTTGAATTCAAGCGAGCAGTATATTGAATAATGAGATCTGAATTCTCTGAATTCATTGTTTTGTGGAAGGGATGATACATGATATAGTTTCTATGGTTGATTAATGTATCAAGACCTCTCCATTTTTGCTCATTTCCGTAAAATTCTCCTGATGAATGTCCCCATTTACCTAAAACAATTCCATATTTAATGTGGCGAGGCAACTTCCATCCTTCTAACTCCTTTCCATCAAAGTTCTCAGAAAAATATGCTGTAGAACTTGCAAAAGAAAGGAAAAAGAAACACATTTGTCACTTTTTGATATCATTTCTGATTTCCATTTCTCATATTGTAATAATCAATAAGTTCGTTATGAGTAAATGCGAAACCAATACATGTAAAATGAACATAATTACTCAAATAGAAATGCACAAAACTGCATGCATAGAAATGAAATTGCATGATTTCCATCTCTTCTACTATCATACTATTTCCGAAGCTTAAGTATCGGACTAAAACATTATAAAGTCTCTATATAACATATATTTATATTCTGATTTTCCATTTCCAAAAATTGATGAAGTAATAAAAATCCGAAGTTGTGAGTGCGTAATATGGATATGAATTATTGAAGCTTATGCTTCTTAGCACCATAAAATGTCAAAATTGTTATATGTGAGTACCAAATTTTATGATGGATGGATTTATGACATCATAAAAGTGACAAGAATTTTAAACAATATTTATTTGATTTTCAAATGATTACTTCTAAAATTTTGATTGGGAAACCAAATCCATTTCAAGCAGTGACATTAGTTGCGTCTAATTTCCAGACTGGCTTTGAAATTTTAGGTGTTTGGAACTTTTCTAATCAAACAGAAGAAGTCGATTATCAATCATATAATAGAATCGTTATGTCAGGTGTCACAAGGCATGACCAAGAACATTTCGCAAAGAATCCATCATTTTTCTTCGATTTCCCAGAGAATAAATTATTACTTTTTGGAAATTTCTTTCCATCAATAACAGAACCAAATCAAACCTATGCATTAACATTTTTTGTCCATTCAGAAGAAAATATGATTACCAAAACACAAATTCCCTATTTCCATTCTTTTTTAGCTTTATTAATTCATAATGTACAAGAAATAATTAAGAGTGGAGAACACTTTCTTCAAGCAACACCACACATAACATTGTTTTGCACAATTGCACTCAAACTACTCCTTTCTGGAGTTCAGCAACCAACAAAATTTCCTTTAACAGCAGACAAGTGCAACTTCTTCTTACAGCATTGTCTAGCATCACACCTGCAAACTCAAATGACGACTATAATTGAAAGCAAAGACGAAAATTTAGCAAAAACTTATTTTGATTTTCTTTCGTTATTTTTAACAAAAGAACAGCTAAATTTATCATCGAAACTATATACGAACAGGGTAACTCCCGGCTTATTCTTACAGATCGTTTCTCCACAAACTGTCGGATTTCCTCCATCTGACCTTTATTGTTACGATAGACCATGGACATGGATAAATCTAGATAAAGAAGAAGTTATACAAGGCCCAGATCAGTCAATACAGACCTCCGTTTACCAAGATATAATGTTAAAATTTTTGGACTCTCCACAGATGTTGGAAGAGTTCAAATTATCAAGACCAAGGTTTTCTGATAACTGCTGTGCTTTCAAATTAGTTCAACAATTAAAATCTGTGAATGATATGGAGAAATACATTCTTTGTATGGATTTCTTTGGTGACATAATAAGGAAAGCAATATTAATGGCCGAATTAGTTGAAAATATGAAGTCAGAAAGCGGAATAATTCAACCTGAGGTAAAACAGGAAATTTTGAGCCTATTGAACATAACAGATAAGTCCGATCTTATCATTATAGGCAATATTTCTTCTTTCTTCGATCAAAGAGTGGCAAGACGCTTGATATATGGAAGAAGAGACCTTTTCAATCAAATTTATGCAGCTGTATGATGTACAATCAATTATATATAGTTTGTTTTGTAAAATTGTTTAGTTTTTGTTGTAATATCTTTGGAGATTTTTTTGTTTTTACATTATGCCTGACATTATTTTCAAATTAATCGAGAGAAAAGACCTTTTTAAAGAAGTACATGAAATTTTAAGCGGCGGATTCGTGGAATTAACGTTTTTTCAAATGCCAATTGAGAAATTTTTTTGAAATCAAGATTAACGATGATAAATAAAAATATTGATGTATATCAACTTATGATCTTTGGAGAACTTCATGGTTGGCTCGACCGATAGTTATATCCTTTCAAAAATATTTGAAAATTGGAGGTGATGGATTCAAAAATTGAAAGGGTGTTAACTTCCCTTTCAATTTCAACCCCTCAGAAAAAAACATCAAAATTCATCCAAATGTTCTTTTTTATTGTCCATTCTTCAAGCATTTTTTATGAAGAACATCATGAAAGGGCATTTATCTCTTACATGAAAGAGACAAATAACTTATTTGTTGGAGATGAATACAAATTTAGGTTTGGAATTTGGATGGCCAACAAGAATTTTGTAGAAACACACAATAAAGCTAATGCAAACTATAAATTATCGTTGAATTCTTTATCGCATCTTACTCCAACCGAGTATCAATCTTTATTAGGTACAAAAATAGATAAAAATTTGGTTTCTCAAGGCAAAAAAGTAAGACCTCAGATAAAGGATTCTCCAGGTATTTTAGATTATCGAGAAATGGGCGTAGTTAACCCAATTCGAGACCAAAAACAATGCGGATCATGCTGGGCGTTTGGAACAGTCGCAGCATGCGAAAGTAACTATGCTTTGCTCTACTCTAATCTTCCTCAGCTTTCCGAACAAAATATTATTGATTGCGCTACAACCTGCTACGGATGCGGCGGCGGAATTATACAGGCAGCAATGTCCTTTATAATTAACAAGCAAGGCGGCGCAATTATGAAGTTATCAGATTATCCCTATCAAGGTGTCGACGGAGCCTGCAAATTCGATGCCAAAACAGCTATGCCAGTTACCTCAAACTTTGTTTCAGTCCCATCAGGCTCAGAAAGGGACTTGGCGAACTATGTCTATCAATATGGAGTTGCAGTTGTTGTTTTAGACTGCTCCAGAATATCTTTTCAGTTATATTCAAGCGGAATTTACTCAGATCCTTGCTGCTCTTCCCAAAACTTAGACCACGCAATGAACGTGGTTGGATACTCGGATTCATACTGGATTATCAGAAATTCATGGGGAACTTCATGGGGCGAGAGTGGATACATGAGACTTGCTAAGGACAAAAATAATATGTGCGGTGTCGCGACAATGGCTTCTATTCCATTGCCAATATAAAGTGTTTGTTTCTGTCCTTAATTCATAATCATTTTTTATATTAGTTTCAATAATCTTAGTTAATGTTTTTATAATTTAAATTCTAACTCAATAATTCTTAAAAATAGAGTAGAATCTATGATATATAAAGCATATAGATGCTACAAAGGTATATAATATAACTGTAAAAGTAAAAATCAAATGTTTATTCTAAATGCTAATGGTGCCTTCACCGAGAGTGAGAGAAAATTATCCAATATGAGAGCTCGAATAGACTGCACATGCAATAGGTAGTATGTTAGCTTCTATTTATGCTTAGATTTCTGGTTTGAAGCTTGAATTAATTATGTTTCTTCTTCCTCCGAAAGAACAGGAAAGAGTAGTTAGAGTACTTTAAGGAATTGTTCATTACAAAATCTCTCATTGAATGAGAGTTTTTGTAATACACATTGCCCATTTCGAGTAAATTTGCATCCTTGACCCTCAAATGATCAGGGAGTTCAACTATAGTCCAGAAACACAATAATTATGCAGCCTAACTAAGATATCCTAGTAGCCAGACTGCATAGATATTGTGCTTCTGGCTTGCAGAAACCTCATGGAAAACCAATTGGAGATCTCCTGCCGAAATCACTTGCTGATGTGGATGGAGCAGCACTATGATTGCCAGGTCAAAGGCTGCGTAGTACCCCAGCAAGTGGATTGTCGGTGGCGTCACCAACTGCGGTTCGCCATGAGATTATTTTGGTGCCAACTATTTACAAGGTGTCAGATTTGTAATTACAACATCTTTATTAGAAAAACTGGATCCAAAATTTTATGCGGATTTTAGCAGAGGGTGATTTATTGCCCTAGGCTCGAAATTAAAAAAAAATCTCCGTTTCTGGAGAAAAATCATCTGTCAGACAAGCTTACCATATTTAACAAAAAATATTGTCCAAATAAAAAAGTTTTTAGTTAAATATGAAAAGTGACCCTGCTTGAAGGTATTACTTTCCGTTGTCGCTCTTGGGTTAGGCAGGATGGTTGTTTGGATTACTTCCTGGTGCAGGCATATTATCTAGATTTTGAACAAAGCTATTAATAAGTCTGTTGTTATAATTGCTTGGATGTGTAAATATTTCCTTTATGTCTTCAAAAAGTTTGAGTACATTTGTATAATTTTCTGCAACAGTTGCTTTCAGATCTTCAAGAGCTGATTGATTTTCGGCAACAATTTTTGGCACATCTTTAAGTCCATCAAGAGTTGCTTGAATTTCGGCAACAGTTTTTGGCAGATCTTCAAGAGATGGTAGGTTTTTCTTGTTCAGTTGGTCGATTGATAGTCGGTGGCGACACAAGCTGTTGTCCGCCATGAGATTATTTTGGTGCCAACTATTTACAAGGTGTCAGATTTGTAATTACAACATCTTGATTAGAAAAACTGGATCATAATATGGAGTCTGCCAAAACTACTCTCAGTACCATTAAAGGCAATGTTATTGACAATCAATCGACTCATGAAGATCTGAAATCAAATGTTACTGACAATCAATTGACTCATGAAGATCTTAAATCAAATGTTCCCAAAAATCAATTGACTCATGAAGATCTTAAATCAATTGTTGTCAAAAATCAATCGGATCTTGAAGATCTGAAATCGACTCTTGCCGAACATAAAAATATGCTTAGCGTATGTCTGGATGGCTTAAAAAATGCTTTTGAATTTATAAATTATTATAATGAGAGACTGGATGCATGGGATAAGAAGCGTAAAGAAGTATGTCAAAGGCTTGCCAACTTAGCAGAAAGTAACAGATCTTCTGTCTACCCCACGGGTGACAACAGAAAGTAATATCTTCTTGCAGGGTCACTTCTCATAATTAAGATTTAAATAATTATTTTGGCAATATTTTTTAATAGATATGGTAAACTTGTCGGACAGATGATTCTTCGCCAGAACTGGAGATTTTCTTTAATTTCGGGCAATAATTCGCCTTCTGCCAAAGAAATGGCAAATTATTTCAAGGAATATTTTGTGAAAGTACCCTATGCAAAATTTCCTAAGATAATCAACATAGAAATGTGGGTGTAAATTCTCTTAAGCTAAACTGGTTTTATCGGAAATCAATGAAAAATATTTTAGATTTAATTTTATTGATGACCTAAGAGAGATCATTAAAGGCCATCTCTAGGGTTGATGATGAGAATTTGAGATTTTTGAATAGATTGGAAGTATTTTGAATGTTTTATAAGAATTTATGCTTAGTTGTAAGATTGTTAATGAGTCGAAATTGAATAATTTGTTTTTGTAATAATGAACAACTATTAGTTCGCAGTCTGCCATTCCTGGGAACACTGTTTGTTCAACAATCTTCTTCTGATTGAGGGACTTTAGACTGACAAGATGTAGATATACACATCTGTCATTTTGGGAAACACTTTTTTCGCATGTATCCAATAAAGGCAGGATATTTCGTATTCTGATTCCGGAAGTTTTATCGACAAGAATGTTTTATGCACTCTAGCCGTTCTGCATGTGTCATTCAAAATACTTCCTTGAATTTGGGACTTTACCTGTGCATATCTCCCTGAATGGCACATTGTTCTGCAATCACATTCTGCAATATTTTTGTAAAGATATTAATTATGCATAAGTAAATATAAAGATATTAATTATGTATAAGTAAATATAAACATACAGCTTTATTATATTTATTATTCTAAATAAGACATTCTAAAGGAATTTTTGACGTTACTTATAGCATTCAGTTCTTTAAGGAATTCAATGATTAAAACAATCTTCCTGAAAAGAAGTCCTTCACTGTCATCTTCGTAGTTATTTTCAGAAAGTTTCGAATAAGCTTGTTTAAGCTGATCAACAGTTGAAGGCCTATTTCCAATACGTCTTGCAACAGTCAGACAAAGTTCTTTGATCGAATTATACATTCCATTTTCACATTCGCTCGAAAGAGTATAAAATGACACGCAGTTATCCTTATTTGCAGCAAGTTCCGTTACAAATTCAATGCATGCACAAAAAACTTTCTCTTCTTTATCTAATAAATCAATTAAAATTTTTTTCACGGAAAGAAGGAGTTCTTCGATATCCCAGTTAACAATTCCTTCTTCTAGTTCAGATTTCGCAACATTCATCCTAACAACTTCAAGAATTTCCGTTGTATCAGTATTTACAAACCAATTCGCTCTCAAAAGGTTCGTAAAGTCAGAAGAAACTCTTCCCGAGTATTTCTCATGAAGCCGAGGGTTTGTGTACTCTAATAATAACGTACTGAGCCTAAATGAAAGATATGAAATTTGATCATCTTCAGAAACTATAAATTGAGGTAGTTTCTTTGATATATAATTGAATATAGTTAAAACAACGTTTTTGGCTTGCAAGTTTGCCAAAATGTAAATTGAGTTGGAAAGTGAAGTTTCTGGATTCGAAATAGAGACGAATCGCTTAACAATTAAGTCATCAAACATTTGGCTAAACTTATTTGCAATTTCTTGACTCATTACTTCAAATGAATTTGAAATTGTGAAAAGAATATCAGTTTTTGTAGAATCTGTCGTATAAGTCGTAATACATTCGGATATAAAGTCGATTATTAGCTTTAGTAATGCTTGATTCGTTGAATAAAACTGATTAAAAAGTTGGATTGAGTTACAATATGAAAATAGTTGTAAATATTGTTCTGGCTGATCATCTATATTCGAAACAACAAGTTTTGCATACTGTTCAAGAAGTGGAGAATAATTTGGTTTTACAAACAGTTCCATGACTTCTTGATTAGCTATTATATATGCAAAAAGATTTAAAATCAAATCATTCCAGTACTTCATGTTATGTGGCTGCGCATTTTGCAGTAATAAGTTGATGGCTGAATAAAAATTCGGAGAAATTAAATAATTCATAAGAGCTCCTTTGGTAAATTCTAGGAAAAACAAAATAACTTCATCTGAATAGCCTTGTGGATTGTCATCAATTGAATATGAAACTAAATTTGATAAAATTTTTTGTTCAGCAAGATATGTGAATATTTCTGATTCGTTTTCTGTTCCAAATGCATCAATAAGTTGATGTTTTAACTCAATTAATGCATTATGAATGTCATATAAAGTATTTTCATCTTTATCTAAAGAAGCTTGCGAAATTATTTCCCAAGTATGTCTGATTTCATCGGTGGGTGTTTCATCAGTTGGTTCGACAAGTATTGGTACAATCTTCTTAGCTAGATTAGAAAAAAAACTTGCCATGATGAAATTTTTAGAAAAAAAATTATAAAAAACGTCACTTTTTCATAGATATCATTTGCTTCTTTTCTCATCTAAATCAAATGATTATTCTGTCTCCAATCAACATAATGGGCAAAGCCTTACATAATGCATAAATTCCTCATACTATCTTGAAAGCAATATATCTTTATCCGAGTTGTAATTGAGAAAAAGTGTCAAGTCTAATTTGAAATGAAATGTCAGAAAAAAATTTTAAAAGTGTTTTTTGAAAGGTAGTCTCACGAGAAAACTGACGGTAAAAATTCGATGAAACCAGGTGCATTGTATAGTACATATATGTGGTAAATAAATGTCGATTAGCTTTGTAAAAAATATCCCACAGTTTTTGAGATCTTGAAAACGGCCATTCAAAAAGTCGAAAATTTTCGCGAGATGTGAATGGGCAAGACAGTTTTTCGACAAATAAATCGTAAACATGGGAATTAAAATAAGGCGTTATATTACATATATGGTAAAGAATATGGATGTGAAGAGCGTTAGTAGAATGGAAAGACTTTGAAATTTTAAAAAATTTATCTGGACTAAAAAATTGTTTGATTATAAAAAACATATTATATATCAATTGCTATATAGAACTATCATAACAGATTTTGGAAAAGCCGCAAATCCCCAAGTTGGAGAATTCATTAAATACTAATTATTCAGCTTTTTATCAGAAAGGAAGGTAGTGTAGTGGTTGGGAACACTATTCTCTTTTTGAATCTAAAAGGCAACTGTTCAAATCATAACATCTTTGTTTTTTTTTCTTATTCTGCCATTATTGTTTTTCCTTGTTATGATTCAAATTAAAAATATTTTAGTAAAGGTATTTTGGACATCATTTTTTCACATTGTCTCAATGCAAATGTTTGAAAATTTTGTAGGCAATATGACAACTCTTTCAACATTTGTTCTCTTTGATTAACTCAAACAGATTTAGGATCTAATTTCATGCCTTCGAAGACATTTAAACCATCTTCAACATAATTTATTGACAAATTGATAACAATTACTCATGAATGTCGTAGATTTAATATCCTGTCACTCAGCAACAAATTCGGGTTCAATAACAAAGCTCAGTAAAAACTTTACAGAAATTCTCCAATTTATTTTAGTGTCTTTTTGCGTCATTACGGCTGCATTTTCTTCTGCATCTGAACGCTGTGTTTGGAAGAAGACGAAATACAGAAACTTTCAACACAAGTAATCAGATTTTCTTGTCTTTCATGTTAAAATGCTTCATCTCGCTAGGTATACGTCATTTATTGGATGGATTGTTAGCTTTGTGTCCAAATAGCAAAAAAAAGTATTAATTTAAATTTCGCATTTTGCATAAGTATACGCTTTAATTTATATCAAAACAGATTTAGATAGCTTAAAACAATATAGTTTACTCATAAATACATCTTGATAATTCACTTCTTCAATTTTCATAATCTTATATCCTGACCTATATCCTCTTATAAACCATATTTCTACTGAGATCTTCTTAAAGCATCTTTTTATCCCTATCTACGCCTCGAAACCCTATTTTTCCGGCGGAATATGAATCTTCGGGTCTCGCTGATTCGATTTCTGCAGTCAGATCGTAAAAATACCCACTACATAGCCTGATAATCTCAATTTAAGTTTCTTAATTTTTTTGAAAAAAAATTAAAACTCCCTTATCAAACATCATGCTCATTTTTACGAATTTCATTTTTCCTTTAAGTTTAAAATATACGCTTTTTAGCATGTTTATAATACATTTTCAATTTACATTTACATTTTTATTTTTGAATTGTTTATTTATATTTCCGTTTGAACAATAATATTTATTGAAAATTGTGAGAGAAACGGATATAATAAAAAACACCATACAACAAAATTCACCTTTTTTCATACTTACGCGGATCACTCCTTTTCGGCCCAATATGCCGGAAATGATAAAACTCTCAGATTTAGTTGCTAAGATCCAAACTCTCGACTCTCAAATCTACTTCCTCAGATCTTGTTGCTAAGATCTACTTCCTCAGATCTTGTTGCTAAGATCTAAACTCTCGACTCTCAAATCTACTTCCTCAGATCTTGTTGCTAAGATCCAAACTCTCGACTCTCAAATCTACTTCCTCAGATCTTGTTGCTAAGATCGATCTATTATACTCAATTTTACTTAAGCAATATAGATCACCTTTATTATGATTCTCTTTATCTGTACTTGTTTAAAATTAAATTACATCATAAAGATCTAATTACAAATTATTTAGAATTTTGAAATAAAACCAGTATTTTATCAAATGCTTTGAGATTAATGCATTCAAACTTAAAAAAAAGATATATTCAGATCAATTTCAATATTATTGATTTTTTAATGTAAAAACTATGTCTACATAGATCTCAAACAATTTTATTAGATACTCTTTTTCCCAATTTTTTTCAAAATCTCTTTTTACATATCAAAAATTGTATTTTTGTATTTCATTTTTATTTTTTCCATATTTTTTTTGGAATTTGGATATGCGTCCAAAGTAGTTATGTCATTAGAAAAATATTAGATATCTGAAGAGAAAATGATAACTTAGAGAGTTTTAAAGATTTTATTTTCGAATACAAATATAGACCTCAGAGGAATACATTCTAAATAAATTTGTATCTGAGGGTGAATAAATAAGAACAAAATTTAAAGGGTTAGCATAAATAATGTAGAAATTAAGATTGGAATTTAAATTTAATACAAAATTAAAGGGAATGAATTTGCGATTAGTAGGGTATGGCAAATGGATTGGGAAACATTGGTTACACATGAAAATTATCAGATGTAAGAATTTGGTGCAGATATTTTAAAAATGAGATCTGAGTGCTTAAACAATATCTCAAAATTCAAATTTTCCAAATGAAAATTTGGAAAATTCCCAAAATGCAGAATCAACTGATGATTTTCAATCATTAATAACGCCAATACAAGAAGATCATTTTCCTTCTGCCAACGAACTAAAACAATGGTTTGATATTGCCCATGATGTTTTAATTAGTCCGCCACCTGAGAATCAACATCCAGAAATTGATGAAGAAGAGACACAAAAAGCAATTTATCTATTACAAAACTTAGACTTTCCTAAGAAATAAAATTATTTAATTTATTCTTGTTTGTTTTTTAATTAAACATGTATATTTATTAACATTTCCTTTTTTAATACCTTTCCAACTTCTATTAGTAACAAACACATAACTAATTTGAAGATTTAGCGTTATGAAGAAGTATCCAAGTAATAACGTCAATAATGCATTTGCGATAGGATATAATTGCACCAAAGGTTAAAACTTGTATAAAGAATGAAAAATGAAATTTAATACAATTTTTTTTCGAAAAAAATCCATGCTTGGCTAGATTTTCATAGTTATTGAATATGCATTACTGACATCTTGTAAAAGATGCCGATCAAGGCTTTCAAGATTGCTAAATTTCTCGATTAAAATTTACATTTTTTTTTATTTGTGTTTAATTACATTTTACAGTTTGCAGACTTACATAAAATCCGCAACATAGTGGTTATTTAATATTTGCCCCACAGTATTGTAGTTTGAAATTTACGATAAGATTATAATTGATAAAGTAAGGTTTTGTCATTAATGCATCTTATAAACTTTCATTGATAAATATGGATAGATAAGTTCTGTGTTCAAAAGTAAGCATTTTTTAAAACGCGCAATTATATCAAGAACGACTATCATAAATTCATGAGTATCGATGATTTTCGTTTAGGATGGACTTAATCGGCTTGATTGATATACATATTTTAAAATGGCATAGCTTTGTGCATGTTATGTCAAGCATTGTGCCAAACCAATTTAAAATGAAACAAATTATTTTAAAGAAACTATATATGAACTATTCGAACACTTTATATTAATGTAGGGAGCTATAAATTTAAATATTCTAAAAATTTATTTATTTGTTAAGAGTTCGGAACAAATTTATTATTGAATATATAGGAAATCAAATAATTATGCATAATCGCATAAAAAAATGCTGAAACAATGAAAAGAAAAAAATAGTTGCCCAATAGAAAAAGTCGAACCCATACCCCTACCCATTGAGTTATCCTCACTTTCAAGTTTCGATCGAAAAAAAGTTATTTAATCGCGTAACTCGCACCGTTTAGTCGTATTTCGAAGTTCTATATAGTATTAAAGATTAAGTTACATTATGTACAAAATAACTTTTTATTGTTATTTGATTTTGATAGCATTATTAGCTGAATATGAAAAATCTCGTAGAAATAATCATTTCATTCAGACATAAGTATTGGATTGTTTCCCAACAAGCATAATAACACACGTTTCATATTATAATTTATTTCATTTCTGTACAAAATTTAGATAACGATATCAAATAAAAAAAACTGTGGCCTTTTTTTACTTCAAACTATCATGAAGTGTAACCAAATTGGGTGAGTATTCTTGCTATCAGTATGACATGAAAAAGTGAACGACAAAAATTGAAGATATTGTAGTTAACTCGGATTTTTTTAATTGCAAACACATCTATAATTTGTTTAAATATCATTTATTATATCAAAATCGAAAAATTCGTTTTTGGAAATCTTTGAATTTATGAGAAGTTCTACAAAGACACTTACAAATATAGCGTTTGCAATAAAAAGGCTCTTTAATCTTCTTCATCCTTGCTCAGAAACTTCTACTGGTTACCTTACGGGTAACCTGCAAAGCTGCTTCCAAGGCATCGGGAAAATAACGTATTTTCGTGAGACTACCTTTGTTTTTTGGAATATCAAAATGATATTCCAAGAACTACTTATAGAATTAGGATTGTCCATACTATCAGCATCTCTTTATATATTGACTTGGTCACTAACAAATGCAGAATTACCAAAAAACATTTCGAAAATTGTATTCATTTCATTTATATTTAATTGCGCATGCAGAGATTGCGTTACTTTAGAAGGCAAGTGGCTAGATTATATAATAAGTGAAGAATTATTGTGCATTTTTTCGACTTTATTAGGAGCAATGGAAATTCGTATTAATATTGATAACTTAAGCGTTATTCAAAGCATATATGCTAATCCAAGAAAGGCTCGCATTTCAATTTTTAATAATTTTTCATTTTATTTTTTAATTGTATTATCATCATTAGGAATTGCAGGTGTAAAGTATATTTACCATTCATATGGTATAATAGATATGAACAATGTTGCAAACGTATTCATGACAGGAAATAAATTCAATATTGTGCAATTCAGAGGAATAATTTTAGAGTACTTCACTAAATTCGGCTGCAAATGTCTCATTACATCAATTTTACTCTGCTATATTTTAAATAAATACTTTCCAATCTTAATTAAATGCAATTTATGTGAATGCAAGACCAAATTCGAAGTTGGAGTCTTGTATTTCGCAGCTATATACGCTATATCATTGTTTTCAATGACGCTTTATATATACAAACCAGAGAATTTTCAGATTCAAATTTCATGCAAGAAAATTATGTCTTTCCAGAAGGTTTGGTTAACTTTAACGATACAAAACGTAATATTATACTAATATTCCTTGAATCTATGGAAACTTCGTATGCATCTGTAAACTCTGGAGGATTCTTTGAAGAGAGTCTGATTCCTAACCTTGAAAGACTTGCTAACGATAAAAATAATATACATTTTACTCACAAACCCGAAAAACTCGGTGGTCCGAAGGAAATGAAGAGAATGAGCTATACTTCAGGGGCAACGTATGCTATTCTTTGCGGTGATTATCTTGGAAGACCAGTGGGTGGCAGTAATAAGTATTTTCGCCCAGAATTAAAATGTTTTACAGATATTTTGAAAGAAAACGGCTATAATTTGGTTGCTATCTATCCTACATCATATTATTCATGTAATCAAGGCTATTTGTACTTATCTCACTCAATGAAGCAAACAGATTTAATTGATTCTTTAATCATGAAAAAGACTGATGATTGGATATCAGATTACATCATGATTGATCATGCAAAGAAAGCTATTCTTAGAAAATACCAAGAAAATCGTCCATTTATGGCAATTATGATGACAATGGACACACATTTCCCAGGATTCCATTGTAAGTATTGCAACAAGACAGGAAATAAGTTATATGATGCAATTAGATGTTCTGATCAACAGATTTCGAGTTTTGTTGAATGGGTGAATTCTCAGTCGTTTTATGAGAATACAACTATCATTATCCACGGAGACCATAAATATATGGGTAATAAGATGAATATAGACAGAAATTATGATAGAAGAGTTTTTAATTTGGTAATTAATCTAAAAACTCAAAGAACAGGCAAAATTACTAAGGATTATGCATTGTTTGATATGTTTCCAACGTTACTATCACTTGCAGGAGCTAAAATTAAGGGAGAAAAACTAGGATTGGGAACAAATTTGTTATCTAATGAACCTAACTTGCTAAATAAGTATCCATTTGAATATATAAACAAAGAAACAACAAGAGAAAACATTTGATTCAACACTTTTGTGCTAAAACGACCTCCGCCAGGTGAAATAGGATTTTCTCTAAATTTGATTGGTTATAATCAATCTTCTTCACTACAAGCTACTCAAAAATCTAATATTTGTCGAAGACTTAAATAAGTTTTCAGATTTGTTTTATATTTTTTTGTTATATGTTTGAATTAGAATAAAAACGTTGTTATTATGATGTTTGAAATCAATGCATACCTCATTTTTATATTTATTAAAAGATATAAAATATCAAAATCAATTTTTAAAAAATTCATGCATAAATTGGAAAAAATAACATATCCATTGTATATACAGTCAAAGTACATCTCATTTCAGTGCAGAAACTTCTGAGATTTTAAATGATCAATGACAACAAAATCTTATCCAAAGGTATAATCACTCATTGGAAACAATGTGTTTAGGGTGTATATAATAACAAAGGTGTTTATTGTGCTAAGACACCGTTTACTTTTCCTGGATCCTATTCAATGATAGAGATATTAATTAAAATTAATCTCCATCTCTAATACTTTTTTAAAAAATACTTTTTTAGTTTGGATAGTAAATCTTTATTCAGTCTATAATATTAGGATAGATTTTACATGTAATTTATGTTTTGAACTCAAATAAAACAGAATTTGAGATCAAATTTACTTTCTTGGATGAACTTTATTGGCCTTAACCATTTTGTGGTAGATCTGAACACCAATTAAACCTGTCTTGTAGTTAATTTGTAATTGATCATCATTTTTAACCAAATTTGCTCCAAAAAGTTTGGCATATTCATCGAAAACTGCAGCAGGAATGTTCTCTTCCTTTTCCTTAAGAGCAATCTCCTTCATACGCTTCAGCCATTTCATTAATTGGTTGTAATTCTGTTCTGTGTTATCATGGAAGCCATAATGGGCTACACCGTAACTTTCTGTTCCCATGTTCATAATTCTTGTGATTGTATCGGTCCAAGCGTCAGGATCAAAAGCAGCTGGAGATGTGATAGCGAAACCTACATTTTTAGCAATGTCATCGTAAACATTACCGAATGAATCACCTGTTAATGCGATGTGTGCCTTTTTATCTATCCAAGCAAGATGATGATATGCATGGCCAGGAGCATAAATCAATTCAACCGATGCACCGCCACCGAATTCAAGTGTTGTTCCATCTTTTACTTGAATTATTCGGTCCTTTGGAACAGGTACAACTTTATCTTTGTATTCAAGTTCGTAGTTGTATTGCATGACTTTTCTTGCTTCTCTTATGATTATTTCTGGGTTTTCAACATGACGAGCGCCTCTTGGATGTACATAAATCATAGCATTTGGAAAATCTTTTACTAATTGAGATGCATTTCCTGTGTGATCCATGTGAATGTGCGATAAAACGATTTTTGTTAAGTTATCTTTTGTAATTCCGATATCGTAAAGCTGTTTCTTCAATAAATCATAGTTTCTTGGAGTGCCTGTGTCCCAAATTGCAGCATCTCCTGTCTTTGACTTAACAGCATAGACACTGGCAGCATGAGGAATGCCTGTGAAGAAAGCATCTACAACATGGTAAGTTAGATGTGAGAATTCTTTGATCATAATAAAATGATTTTGTCTCACTTTTTTTGATCGGTAAAATCTTTGATCGGCCATCATCAAAATGTTTTGTTGATATGTTTTGCAGCCAAAATATGCTAAATTTGATAGAAATTTAGTTTGATAATCGAATTTTTATATTGAGCCATTCGTTATCAGCGTCATTACCTATGAAACAACCAAAAACATTAAGAGATGTGCCATTGTGCAATACAGTTAAATCTGGGTCAGTATTCTCCATATATTATTACCGATTTATCAGGAATATAAGGTTTTCTATGGGAATTTAAAGAAAGAGATAATTAATTCCCTATTCCATATCTTGAAATGTGTATATGGTCCAAATGTTGCATGAATCTTACTCAAAGAATGGAACCGAATTTGATCAAGTCGAGTTTCATGATTAAATATTTTGACTACGAATGCCCTTAGTTATTTTTAGCCGATTTTCTCATATTTCATTTATTTTCAATAGTGCTTCGCCCTCTCAATTGTGAGAATATGTTTTCATCAGAATCTAATTTAATACCAAATATGTGATATATCTTACCAATCAGATTTGAATCAGCTTTTGTTCTTAAACCTAACTTTGAGTAAAAACATTTCAATTAACCTCATTTATTTTAAAATTTGATGTGTTTTAACTTGTTTGATCAAAGGAAAGCTAAATTTGCATGCACAAACAAAGCTTCTCAATCTTTGAGTAAGCTAAAAAAGATGGGAAAAAAGTTTTTTTGATTTTTTTCATGAAAATACAAACAAAATTTTTATAAAGTTGCTGCAGGAGCAACAGTTTCAGAACAATATTCTTCAGGCTCATTCTTTTCTTTGATGTGATCCTTAACAACTAACAAAGTAACACCAACAAGAATCAGAACAACTACAACAGTGAAAATGACACTTATTGAAATTATAATTTTTTGTTTCTGTTTCTTTTTCTCACTTATTTCATTTGCAGATTCTTCCTTTGATGTTGGTGAGTATTTATTTGGCTTCTCAGTTTGTGATGGAGGCTGAGAAGTATAAGTAATGATTGGATTAGTATCAGGAGGGACACAAGCCTGATAAACTAAACCAGAAATCTTCGAACATTGCGATGACATATTAAATTTAAAATTATTTAATTCTTCTTGTGTAATTTCGGAGCCATCGACAATAAAAGCATTGATAAATACAGAGCATGGATCATGGTCTGTGTTCAATGACTGTACAGTCAATATTCCTCTTGTGAAATTCGATGATTCAGGTATAATAAATAAAACATATCCTTTGTTTGGTTCAAAAGACTGTTGTAAAACAGTTTTATGGTCATAATCAATGATTGATGTCAATACATGCTCATCATCTGCATCATCAACTTCTATATTCAATGAATATGGTTTTGTGATCACTTCATCTTTCTTTATTTTCTCGTATTGCTTGATATTGATGTTCAATGGTTTTATTGAGAAAGGACCGCATCTTGCACTGAAGATAATATCAGGAGCATAAACAATATTCACAATGTATGTGATGTTGCACTTGCCGGCCAAGTTGTGAGGTGAATAACAGTTAAAACCGTTAATTTGAGAGGTCTTTTCAAAATTGATAACTCCCTTTGCGATTGAACCTACTTCATCCGGATCTGTTGTTGTGAAGAAGAGAGTAGCTGGGCTGTCAGCGAAACTATCGATTCCTGTGAGTCTGAATGTCAAATTCTTTGAGGAATCGATAGTTGAACGTGGGCTGTAATTGTCAATTGACAAATGTATTGATTCGTTGTTTGGCAACTGTTTATACTGTGTATATGATATTGGCTGAGGAATTACACTGCCAATTGGTTGGTCAGTGATGTCTGTTGTGGATTTCTCGAGTGTTCTCTTTCCGAATAAGACAATTTTCGATGTACCGAATATTCTTAATTTTGTCTTTGTGATTCGGCCAGTAGGGATGCATCCAGCAGCTGAAATATAGACTTTCCAGTCACCATTTGCATTCTCTCCTAAGAATTGTCTCGCCGTGAAAGCAAATCTCTTTAATCCTGGACCACGACTCTCTGTATTAGTAATCTCGTTAACAGTAACTCTTGTACCTGATGGAGATTCAATCTCAATGGTCAATTCGCCGATGTTTTCATGAAAAGTGTCAATTATCAGATTGACAGATTCGATGAAATTGACTTTCTTCTCTATTGTATGGGTAAAATTCAGTGGTGCACTTCTGCATGAAGGAATGACATGAGAATCGTATGTGTTTGTGGACTGTACCTCATATTCAGTTCCAAGGGGAACAATCTGTGGGATGAGTTCAATAGCTCTGGCAACATTCAACCGGCCAAAGCCGTCTATGTTTGAATACTTTATATTGGCCGCATTTGTAATCCAGGATGGATGATCTGCATCGTTAACTGTAGAAGAAAGAGCTATGACCAACTGGAGAAGGCGCCATGTGATATTCTTACTTGTTTGAAGGATTAGAGCTAAAGCACCTGTAGCAATGGCAGTCGCAGCTTCCATCTTCGTTGCCATTGGCTGTGATGGGTTTTGAATACCACAGGTATGAACAGGATTAACAGTTACGTTATCTCCATAGTCAATCGATGTATCTGTAGATGGAACGTTGAATAATAAATTTGACGATTTTGGTGAGTAGTAAGCTCTATCGCCTTTGTTTGTAGTAGCAGCAATATTCATTGTAAATCGTGTCTGCATTAAAGCATCGTAATTTGGATCTGCGCCTATGCCGTTGCACATTTGTGGGGCAAAAACATTAATCCAGCCTAATCCACTGCGACCTCTTACATAATTAGAGGAAAGTAATCTTTCTTTCAATTCATCATAGGTGTCTACGATGATTTTTCCATCTGTGCACATTTTGTTATTTGGAAAGGCATTGAGTTGCGTTAATGAGTATTTTGTGTCTGACATATGTAATGCTATATAGTATGGTAATTGTCCTTGATTCTGTTGTATTGGATAACATTTTACAGTGCTCTTGGGTGCAATTCCAAGGCATTGGTGATCGTCGATTTTATTACCTATGATTGATAAAAGATGACTTTGTTTTTCATTAGTATCTGGTTTTGGAGGTTCTCGAGAATTTTTTGGATCTTTTGGCTCAGATCCATTATTTTCGTTTGGATCTGCGCAATCTGTACTAAAAACACTAATAGAAATATCATTACCATTCAATCCTTTTTCTATTGCTGGAACAATGTTTAGATCTTCATTTGGAACTCCATTATATTGCCCAGTATTCTTGATATAGAAATCAGGAATTGGATCTCCTATTGGAGCTTCATTGTCTGGGTTAATATGAACAGTTGCAAGAAGGAATAAAGCGATAATCATGAAAAATCTTAATTATAATGTGCTCTTAAATCTTATCAAAAAATCTCGATTTTTTGAAGCCAAATTAATCGTAACACTCAGAATTCCGTTTTAAAGAAAATTTCATTGTGATAATTTGATATGTCATCATCGTATCACCAACAAAGGTGATAATTTTCACAAATTAAGGCATAAAATTTTGAATTGAGAGTACTATCGAATTAATATCGTGATTTACTATATTATGTATAACGATTAGCTCCTATTATCCGACCAAAATTTGAGTTAATTTCAATAGAATAAGGCTCTGAAAATAATATTCGATCTTTTTATGGAATACTGATATGTGTTTGTGTCAATATTCATATGACGATTTGGAATAGCGAGGCAGGTGAAATTGAATAGTTTACTCAAAAAGTTTAAGGGTGCACCCGTATGTACGTTTATTTGAGAGGAGGAGGATTACCCTCTCAATTTTGAGGGATTCGTTAGTTTATTTTCTCGATGAATATGCAATAAAATTTGATTTTTACCTTATCAATATACTTCATATAATATACACATGTTCATGTAAAAACTTTTTTCCAAAATCCTCAGGAATTAAGGAATTTTTGAATTTTAAGAATTTTTTTCGAATTTTTTCAAAAAAAAATATTTTCAGAACAGCCTTAACGGCTAAGATTTAGGAACAATGTTAAGTATCAAAAAGAAAGGAGGTCTGATATAGACAACATATATCGTTGAAGGTTGAAAAAATCTCTAATATTTGAGCCCAAAATTTCAAATTTTAATTTTTTGAAAAAAGAGGCCACCCGTATGTACGTTTATTTGAGAGGAGGAGGATTATATTTTTGAAAGGGTGAAACATTATGAATATGTTAATTATATAATAATATGTATTATTATAAAAAAGAAAAAATAAAGCACGTTAAAATTTTTCTTTCTTGATTTTTTACAAAATCTACTTAGAATTATGCAAAATATGACTAAATAATTATAAATTTCAAGTTAAATTTTAACTTTGATAAATAATTTAAATTTCAAAATATCAAGTTCAGTTCGACTATGTATGTAGTAATTCCTCAATAAAGTGCCAAAACCCTATTAAAATATATGAACATTTTCAACATTTTAATGTTTTTATTTAAAAATTTGTTGGAATATGAGCTTCAAACAATTATTATGTAAATAAAAATAATTAAATATATGTATTTATTCGTATTACAACCGTAGTAAGTCGATTCTTCCTTTCTTCTACTGAAATTTGAATTTGATTTCGAATTGTAAAGAGATTCAAAGGGAAAATACTAGCGGATAAAAACTACCTCCATGAAAGGGTCATAATGGAGTCAAGTTGTATTTTTTGATATTTTTTTGCTTTTCGAGCCTAAAATAGGTAGCCAAGATAATGCCTAAAAATAAGGTTCTAAATTCTGAAGTTTACATGATCCTCTCGTGTGCACCCTTAATATATGACTAGTCTTATATCCAACATCTCTACATTAATTTCGAGAATTAGTATCTACAAAAATCATTTATATCCTATTTGGGATTTGATAGTAGTAGGATATGATGGGTTTAGTGACTTTTTTTGTTACGTCTATATATAGACGATGCATTAAAATATATTTATTTATAAATCAATAAAAAATTAACATTAATTTTAAAATAATTTATTTTTTATCTTTTATAAAAGAATCTATATATAGACGATGTCAGATATTCCGCGATTAATTAAACATTGTTTAAATCCTGAATGGGTTAAACTTCAATTTAAAAATGAAGATTGTGAATTATTAAATGAATATGAAAGCCAAAATAAGCTAATGAGGTATAAATATAATGATAAAGAATATTTAATTTCATGGAATCAATGGAGTCATAATCAAAGACCTCATAAACGAGAAGAAGAAATTGAAAATAATGAAATGGAAATCATTGATGACATTAAAGAGGATGGAATTCCTAAATTTTGTAGAAAAACCTTTAGAACTAAGTTAGGAGCATATAAAAGAAGAATATTAAATCCTGAATACATAAAACATTTATTTAAAAAGGAAGACTGTGAATTATTAAACGCTAATGAATATGAAAACGCTAAATCAAAACTGAGATATAAATATATTGGAAGTGATGAAAGGTGTAAAGATAAAGATAAAGTTTATTCAGTTTCATATAATAACTGGCACACGTTAGAGATAAGAAAACATTTAGGAGATTATGGGAAATGTTCTGAATTCTTTAAATCTAGTATATACGAGAGAGTAAAAGAAATTAGAAATAATTATTTTCATGAATAAAAAATAAACTTTAAAAATTAATGTCTTACATTTTTGAATAATTTATTTTTTAATTCGTAAGAAATGAACGTCAAAACTAACAACGTTAAAAAATTAGGATTCACAAACGAGGAAATAAAGGATATATTAGAGGAGGCGGGTTATGAAGTTAATAAATATTATTTAAGAAATTGTCAAAAATTTGCCGAGTTATTAAATGATTTAGATTATGATGGAAAAATGAATAAAGATGATGTTATAAATTTCTTATATCCTACATCTGAAGAAGAAAAACCTAAAGAACCTGATGTTTTCCCTGAATATTATGAAGAACGGATTAAAGATGATGAATACAATGAAATTGAAAGACTGAAAAAAATAAGAGATGAAATAGATGAAAAAATTAAGGAATTCAGAGAAGTTGAAAAATATAATGAAAATGAAGTAGCGGATTTAATGAATATCCCAGCTTCAGAATCAGAAGTTCAGAAATCTCATGAAGAAAGATCTAAAAATTATGTCTCAGAATCAACACAAAATTTATTGGATGGTGAAATAGACGAAACACTTTCAGAAGAAGGTACTAAATTTATACGTAAACATAAGTTACAATTTATTGATAATGAAAAATACCCTTATATCTTACTTTCACCCCCTCTCGATTCTGAGAAATTCAAAAAAGCTCTTAAAAACGTGACATATGCAACTAATACGATTAAGAAAGAAGATCATGATATTTACACAAATTATTATTTAAATAAATGCACAGGTGTTGATAAAGTTTTTGATTTATTAGATAAAATATCAAAAGAAACCATTGGAACATATAAAATTTTATGTGATTGCGGTTTCATTGTTGAAGATACTAATAATGTTTCATATGAAAGAACAGCACCGAAGGAAGATGAAGTGGAAAGGTCTATACCATTCGTTATTAAGAATATAAAAGATATGAAAACGTATAAGCATTATATTTATTCATTTATTTCAGAAAAAATGGAAGCAACCCATAAAACATTTTCTCATCATTTTATAGCTATTCATACATTCCTTTTCAAAGTTGTGAAATTAAATAAGACAGGAATTAGATTTAATGTATCAGGGTACGCATTCTTGAGTAAATTAAAATGTATTCGTCACGTCGCAGATGATAAAAATTTATGTGTTCTTAATTCATTTTATGGGCTTTAAAAAATAAACTTTATTTTTATTTATTTTTTAATTTTTTATTCTTACATAAATGAACAAAAACGGAACAGCTAAAATGAATGATAATCAAATTAGAGCAGAAGGTAGAAGGTTATTTAAACGCTTCTATAACATTCCTGATGGTGTTAATCCTAAAACTCATAGAAGCTATTTAAATGAAGCAATAGATGCATATGAAGGGTTTGACATTTCATCAGAAAGTGAGAGATTAGCGAGAATGTTAAATGTTAATATTGATTTCTATTATTGTGATCCTCAACCAGAAGACGTGGACATAAATAAGGTAGACTTTCCATTAGTGGAATCAATAATGATAGATCCAGAATTTGAAACAGTAAATATTTTATTAACACAGAGTCCATGTGGAAAACTTCACGCTGACAGAATAACAGACGTTGAAGCACTCACAGGCTATAAAGTTTGTCCATATTGTAAAGAAGAAGTTATTCTATCCGTGATGATCCAGAAAGGAAAAACCAAAGAAGATTTTTAAAGCATTGTGAGAAATGTAAAGAAAATAATGGAAGATTAATTCAAGACGTTCAGTTGCAAAAGACACAGCAACCATATGCACCACATATTACGAAACAGAAGATATATCAGTGGTTATTAGCTCACAATTTGCAGGAATATTATAAACCGACAAGATATTATATTACTTTTGACTTTGAAACATTAGAGACTAAAGAAGAATTACAACTTTCTGAGTGTGCAACTTTGAACGCTTACTTAAAACCATTCATGGTATCATCAACAGTTAAATTAAATGATAAAACATATACGAGGAATTTTTGTTTAACTTCGAGTGATTCTTTTATTTCTGACTGGATTGAATTTTTATTTTCAACCTGTTCATTAGTTGCTAAATCAAATATGAGTCAATACGATGAATTAATGAAGCCGCAAACGGCGGGGACTTTGTCCCATACATTAAATGAAAAACAGAAGGAAGCATTTAAAGAACTTCTAGATGAGGAATTCAATAAAGTGAATATCATAGGTTTTAATTCGGGAAAGTTTGATTTAAATTTAATTCTTCGTGATTTAAACACTGCAAAATGGAAAATAAAATCAATGCTGGGTTCATCTTCACAATTTAAGCAAATCATTGTAAAGAAAACAAACGTTCCATATGAATTGAGATTTATTGACATCAGAAATTATATAGCGGGTGGGACATTAGACCAATTCACTCAAGATTTCGGAAACAATAAATCACGTGTTAAATCCTTTTTCCCTTATCAATTCATCACGTGGGAAAATTATGAAGAAGAATTATATAAAGTGGAACCATTCACTCAAGATTCATTTTATTCAGCATTAACTCAAGAAACTATATCAGATAGTGATTATCAAATATATCTCAATGATGCTAAAAACTTTAAGAATAGATTAGAATATTTTATTCATTATTGCAATAAAGATGTTGAAATTATGATTGACCCAATCGATAAAATTATTGAAGAAACATTTGTTTATAAAATTGACATGCTTCATAATCTTTCTTTATCATCGAATGCTTCAATGATTCGT